GAAAGAAAGCTCCACTTTAAACACCGGAAGCTCGTTATTTCGGACACCTGCCCCCCGCACCCGAATATCCGGATTCATCCTATAAATAGGCAAGTTTGAAGACACCAGTATTCTGTTCTTTCCAGTCATAAACTCTATGGAATCACTGAGGTTATCGGTTGGTTGGTTTCTGTGTAAATAACACAAACGTAATTAGTATATATCCCTTATAAACCATTCGTCACCAACTCGTGTTATTCCGGGACAAGCCGAATAGCGACTCGATCGTGCCCCTCTCGTGGTCATTTTTTTGCGACTGGGTTCCGTCTAAGCGCAAACGGGCATAACTAAAAGAATTATCGACTCGCTGCGTAATGATTCGCGTATCTTTCCCATATGCTATATATATTCCAGATGCTATTTAAGACACATCGGGACTTAACGTATTATACAGTATGATCGAACACATTTAACTGTATGATGGGTATATGTTTAAATGAAAGACATATTTAAAACCAAACATTATTCCTGAGGGATTCTTTGACGGAAGTACTTGAAGTTACACGCTCATTTTGATTGGTTTGTCGTATTTTCGCTGATAACATTCATCGATAGGGGACGAGTGTTCTTTCAGGTTACGGAAAGGGGCGAGTAGTGACGAATGCCTTTGAACGACAGACTCAAAGTCCCGGCATTCGGACTGACAGCAGTCTGGTCTGAATGTGACAATATTTAAACTGTCAAGAACATTGTTATGGTAACAAACAATCATATACAATTTCACCACTTTCGAGATACAGTATACGATATTTCAACTAATATACGCAGCGGCATATATGGAGGCCATTTTGATTAGAAAAAACAACTGTAATCATTTTTATTCACATATTTTCGGCTCGATGGCAGTGATTATTCTGAACATTTTTATTCTTTATATTTAAAAATAGCTTATTACCTAAATTTTATGAACCCTACTGTAGTGCTTCAAATCCTTCCAAATTATCTCGCAGATCCTTATGATTAGTGACAAGATGACGCTGTGACCTTTTCCAAATGAAATTTTTTTTCATGTATAATGGACTGTTTTTGCTTTCTGATAAGAGCACCCTTAAAGATTTAAAGTTTGAATTTTACCTGTTTTATTACAAAGGTTATCTTTCTTCGTATATCTTACAGCCATGAACAAATCTGAATCCATTTGATTTGCAACACAGAATATAAATGTTTCAGATTCCTGTTTAATCTTTTAAAAAATCACAAAATTATATTTTTAACGTCATTAATGGATCTGAGCATCCTCCTTTTGTTTTATGATCTAGATCGAAGAAAAAGACTTCAGACGACGTACCATGCCATAAAAACACTCGACGTGTCCGTTAAAGAATCGAGGATTCTGATTGACCAATTTCCGCATCGTGATACTTATAGAGGTATACGTTTATTGTCGTGTATTAGTAAGTTGTTTACAAGGGTAGCTGTGTGGTGTGATTCTGTCCTAATTATAGGGCAAGCAGGTTTTCGGGTGAATAATGAGGCAAGCGCTTATTAATGTAACGTTTGATGAAGGTGTTAAACGTTATCGCACTTTGCGGATTTTCGCAAAACGTTCAACTGTCAACAGGCGCGCTTTATGGTACATATTGTATCTGCTCAACTATTGATCAGTTCAACATTCTCAGTATAATTCGTAATATGTATGAGGTGTAAAGTTGTGTGTCCTACTTGCCGATAGGCCTTACAGACTAAAATTTAAAATTTGTCGCCAAGTCTTTTCTACTTAGTTGACGAATTGTCATCTTAAAATTCAGGTCTTCTGGTATTTCATCACCGTTTTATACTGTTGCTCTTCGCAGACCATATGGTTTTGATTGCCGATACGTTGGCAGGGTTACCGAAAGGACTTGATCTGCCGTATGGCTATTGTGAAAGATGGGGATTAATGGTCACTGTAGATACGTTAGACAGTCAGTTTGGTTTAACGCCGCTTTGGAAATCATTCTATTCATATTACGGCATGTCAACTTGATGTGGGAGGAAAGCCCAAAGTGATCCAGGTCTTAGACGTTTACCACTTTGGTGAAACCCGCGAGCACGGGTATGGTGTTGAAAAAATATAGAAACATAACCGGGGCGAACCGGGATTCGGTAGAATTGCTGAGAAAGAAAGTGGCTCTTTAATGGTAGTCAGCTAGATATTGTCAACTCGGTTCTTGGCATTGAACATCGCCATGTAGGGTTTTAGAAGTTACACAGATCTTATCGGAACAGGCAACACAGGCTGTTATTAGCTTTACTCTTTTTTTCAGTAATGATACTTATATATCATGTATATACAGGATGAGGTATTACGTTCCGTGATAGTTCCTATATTATGTTATGGTTACAAGGTGTGGGGATTTACTGAGGCTATCACTATAGGAAATTTATGAAACATCATAAGTTAACAAATGTTATATTTGGGTTAACACTTTCTTAGTAAAGTACAGATTCCTACTTTTTGGGGGTTGAGTCCCGACCCAAAAAAGTACGAGACTCTGTACTTTGCCAAAAAGTGTTATCCCAAATATAATATCTTTTATATTTGAGCACTTTCTAAATGGCATTGTGTATTCATATCATAAGTTCAGTTGTCCACTCCTGCTTTTGTATATGGAGAATCTTCGTCAAGTTACTCGCTTAGTAGGCAGACTGAAGTATTGGTTGAAGCTTATTTCATGTCAGTATACATGAAGGTACATACATGTTGTTAATAAGGCTTTGTTACATCAGTCCATTGCAAAACCAGACAAAATCAGCAGAGTTACGTTAATTGGAGATGTCATGATCATCTTCCCGAGGCAAGGGAGTTAACTGACTATAAAAGTCCAGTTTCCACCCGTGCCGAAATAGGATGGTTTTTATGGAGTTATATTTTGGCTGGGCTAACGAGTCTATGCATAGTCCAATCACAATGACGCAACGAAATCTAAATCCGGTTCGTAAACTGTCATGCAGATTTCGGTCGAATGCAGGAGATCACTGTGACGTGATGAGTGTAGGTAAGAGACAATCCTGGTTTTATCCCCTCAATGGCGAAAGTCAGACAGGGTAACAACACGGCCAGGGGATTAAACCATCGACCTTCAGTTCTCCAAGCAGACGCTCTAGCAACTCAATAGTTTTGAGATATTATAGTATGGCATATGAAAGAACTTGATAAGACTAGTGCATGGGTTGAGTAAAACCTCAAGGGTTGAGTAATCGTTTGACTGGTTAACAAGTTAAACTTAACAGGGGTCGTACCAGCAGCAGAGCATTTGGGGTTGCAAGGGTGTTGACAATAGTCCAGAGCGCCTCTTACATACGGTATATCCAAGATTGCTGTAATTTAGAATTACGACAAACAGTGTTGCCTGTTATGGCAAACATAAGTTGCCGAAGACCAATTCTCTACCCGTATCTACACGGGTGCCATGAAATAAGAAACCAAATCCCTTTTGGTACGCCGGGGGCTACAGATGCCATAAAATATTTGACTGACACGCGAATGTCAAAGAATGAAGAAAGAATACAATATTTCGCCATGAGCGCGCTTATGAGCATGCATAGTCATACATTCTATGTGAAAATCCCAGTCTGATTTACTTGTACCATTGATATAACTCAAGACCTCTTAAATTTGATGCCGAGTAGTGTGCCGTACTTTAGTAGAGTAGGACAAACAGCCCCAGGACGGGCACTTTTTCAACAAATCATGGATATTGTGCTCCGAACAGCGTTGGATGCTGTGAGTTCAATTCCAATGAGTTGCACACATAATGGGTCATAACTTGAGGGAGCATCTCTCTCTCTCTCTCTCTCACACACACACACACACACACACACACACACACACACAATGTTTGATTGTAAAGAAGGATATTTACCGGGGTGACTCTCTAAATATTTTACGTAAGCTTCTCTGAACCTGATCCACATAAAGTTATTATTGAATATAACGAGTGTCGTGAACATAACATCACATTCAAGATTATTTTACCAATACAGATACCTGTATGTGTACGAGTGAGGATTAACCTACCCTTTTTTCTATCCCGGGGATTAAATTCTCTAGAGTCAGGATGATTCTCCCTAGTGAATTTGAACCCATAACAGTGTGTTTAATCGTATCGACATCTTGCCACATATTCTTCCATTAAAACCTATCTTTTAGAACTGCATAGGTTTTGTCCCTACCCAGGTGACAAGCATCATGGCTGTGACAGCCTCACAACACACTGTCCTTTCTGTCAGCTTGATAACTTTCCTCTTCTTGTTGTCCTCTGTATAATACATCTCATCTTTTTCAAAACAGAAATGTTGACATTTTTGTCAAAGCTCTCTTCTGGTTAAAGTTAAACTTTTCTGGATATGTTTTGTCTTTTAAGTAATTGAATACTTTGGAATACTCTGTTCCACCCATGGTTGATCAAATCAACTGACAATGTCAATGTCAGTCCTCAAAGTCATGAAGTCATGTGATCAGCTGACAGCATGAATGTCATGACAGCATGCAATGCATGTGCAAAGGAAGTCTGTAATGGGATAATATACACTAATTGAAGTTAGTGTAAATTATCCCAGGACACATTTTCCTATTTCCACTTAGGTATGTTTCACTGGGATGAATTACCCTTAATTTTTGGACATAACCTATCCCAGATTTCCCACACAAAGGTAGGATACTATACTCTAGAGTAAAACTTCCCCGGAATAATATTTAGGAAGGATATAATCCTATGTATGTGCTGAATGTTATAGCCCAGACATATGTTGGTTTTAAAGTGCTAGCCCACAGAGAAAGTATGCCACAGTTTGACAAGAACACCCAACTGGATACAGTATACTGGAGCCCGCCATGCAGGGTACCAACAAGTACAATTGTTTGCTCACTTGGTATGATGTGCCCAGGGCATGAAGCCACCCACCTTCTGCCCTCTCATCTGTAGAGAACAGGACTGCATGCCATCATCACACATGACAAAATGACACAAGACATCAAATTTAATATTTCTTTTCTCTGTTTTATTGTACAGTAAATCATGTTATATACATATTCGTACATATATTCATAATAGACATCTAAAACCGAGATAAATCACATTTCTTGGTTCATCTTAGTCAGTCAGTGGGTATAAATGTACTAGCAAAATATGTAACATGTATCATGCATTTCACAAAATCAAAAGATGTAAGAAATATGTTCATGTGTTGAACAGAGAATATGATGTTAAACTTTTTATAAAAGAAACTCTAAAAATACTGAAATTTGTATAATATATTATTTAAACATGTGTCTTAAACAAAATTCTAGTTATGTTCTTTATATATCAACAGCTATACATCTTGCATATATTTTGGGTCAGTAAGAAACACACAATTAAAAGTCCCTCCCTGTTAATCAGCTTGCTTCTCAGCAATCAGTTTTAAGAAAGACAGTGGAAACAAACATGCCACATATGTTGAAATTTATTGCACTCAAGCCACACCATAAATCCCATTTAAAAAATGTAAACATTGTGCCAAATAACTTTTACAATGTGGTTGTCATAGCAACCAAACCATGACCAAATCAAAATGATTGAAACATTTTTGAGAATGTCAGTAAGATGCTCCATACCAAGTTTCAGATGAATTGCAAGTGTGGTTCAGAGAACAGTTGATCCAACACATTTGTAGATGTGGCAGTGGGGAGCACATTAAACTTGGCACAATGGAAGAGCCATATTACAGCTCAAACAGATGTTATCTGTGAGATCCAGATCACTCTGGATCTCACTGGTCACACGTATGTCCACAACATTATCTGATTGCTATTAATAAGGTTTTTAAATTTCTAACAGAAATAATTAGCATGGCCTTTTTGGGCCACTGAATACTTAAGTGCTTTTGTGGTTTCTGAAATGACAGTGAAAATTCAAAAGGTTTGTATCTGGCCAATGTCAGAAGGGTGCAATGAACAAAATATCAACAGTCTTAATGTTCAGCAAAATCTAACAGAAGCCATGAGGCTATATCTATAAACATACATCACTTTCCTGCACTTTTGGGTAGAGGTGGCAACTTCCTCTTTGACAGATCTGCTTGAGGAAGTTCAGAAGGTTTGGGGGGGCATATGTCAAGGTACTCAGGAGGATTCTGATTGGTTGGTTCAACATATTCAGCCATTACCTCATTCCTCATTGGCTTGTTGATCATATAAGCTAATCTGTCAATAGGGGAACTTGGGTTATCTGGCAATGAACTGGTATTGGGCACTGTAATTTCAGATTCATTTACAAACTGTATTTTGTGCATTTCACCTTTTTCTGGTATAAGTTTCATGTCTAGATACTGATGCCTGCTTGATGCTTGACCAAGATTAGCTTGACCCACACTTAATACGTTTTCATCCTTGATCTGACCTTGTTCACCTTGACCTACATTTCCATTATGACCTTCATTTACATGACCTGGAGTTTGACCTTGAGGTTCATTCACATAATTTGGCTTTGGGCATGCCTTAACAGGTTCAAGATACTCATTTTGGTCAAAAGCATGGTTCCCGTGACCATTCTTGCCCAAATTTGGTAATAATTTCTTTTCATCTTTTGGCACCTCTTCCATCTGACTGAGCTCATTCTTTGACACCACAGGAGTGAGATAGTCCTTGTCAAGAAGAGGCTTAGCAGAGTCATCTCCCTTGTCCTTTCTAGCAGGGGATGCTTGCAGAGATGAGAATGACACCTCAGAGTTCTTCCTTGCTGCAGCACGGACCAGATTACACTCCTTGAGGTTCTGCTTGGTGGAGTAGGTGACCTCATATGGAATGATAGTTTCCCCGAACTCAGCATAGGTGTTCTCTGAAATATCACATAAAGTTGTATTTCCAGCATTTACTTCATTTCCAGTATTCTAAGAAAAACTGACACCGCAAAAGAGGGGTGGGTTCACAAACATTTGTCCCAACTATATGGGAATAATGAAAATATGACAGTTCTTTTGTTTTCAAATTAAAAACATCAAACATTATTTAATATGAATGTTCTACAATTGTTATTGTAAGTTTTTGCGATATCTGTCATATTCTATATAAAGATCCTCCCAGTGAGCTGGCATCACATAATGTATATCTACCTTGACTTTTGATGACAAATTTAATTTAATTTAATTTTTAACAAATTTTTATCTTCCAACATGGCAACAATGAAACACTAAGTATGACAATATAAGATGGTGGTAAATTATATGCAATGCAGAAACAATTATTTATTGTAGGCTTATCCCTCAAGGTATAGAGTTTGCTGTACCTCTGTGTGTTTGGTCACACAAAGGGTACATCAATCTGTGCTCCCCTTGGGGTAAACCTACATCTTGTTATACACGCTATGTGTGTATACCAACCCTCAGTCATACTGCCATGTGCTCGCCGCTGGTCTTCATCGGAGTGCTCAAACACTGGGTTGGTCAGCATCGTCATGTTCATGGTGGCAGCGTTGTTCATGCTGGGCAGCAGACTGGAGGGACAAATGAACATTGTGAACCTGGGAACAGGTGGCTAGATTTCATCACTCATCAGATCCAGCCACCTCTAGCTAGTAGGTTGTGTCATGACTGATAGGACAATGACTTGCACACTGAACGACTCTAGCCACCTCTAGCTAGTAGGTTGTGTCATGACTGATAGGACAATGACTTGCACACTGAACGACTCTAGCCACCTCTAGCTAGTAGGTTGTGTCATGACTGATAGGACAATGACTTGCACACTGAACGACTCTAGCCACCTCTAGCTAGTAGGTTGTGTCATGACTGATAGGACAATGACTTGCACACTGAACGACTCTAGCCACCTCTAGCTAGTAGGTTGTGTCATGACTGATAGGACAATGACTTGCACACTGAACGACCATGTTCCAGTCAGGCCATAATAAATGTCTTTCAGTTTCTATGTGTACAGACTCGATCACTATATTACATGTTGTGTTAACACAATTGTGTAGTCTTTCATTACAAGATTCAATGTGTGATACAACAATTGGCACACTAACTTTGCTTGACCACTCGTTTCACATTACATACTTACTTGATATGACACACTACCCATGCCACTGATTTCACATGCCACACTTCACATGCCACTGATTTCACATGCCACACTCACTTCACATGACACACTTCACATGACACACTCACTTCAAATGACACTTCACATGACATTTACTTCAAATGACACACTTCACATAACATACTTCACATGGCAAACTCGCTTCACATGACACACTTCACATGACACTTTGCATGACACACTCACTTCACATGACACACTTCACATTACACACTTCACATGACACTTTGCATGACACTTCATATGACACTCACTTCACATGACACACTCACTTCACATGACACACTCACTTCACATGACACACTCACTTCACGACACTTTGCATGACACTTCATATGACACTCACGTCACATGACACACTTCACATGACACTTCATATGACACTGACGTCACATGACACACTCACTTCACATGACACACTCACTTCACATGACACTTTGCATGACACTTCATATGACACTCACTTCACATGACACACTCACTTCACATGACACACTCACTTCACATGACACGCTCATTTCACATGACACACTCACTTCACATGACACTTTGCATGACACTTCATTTGACACTCACTTCACATGACACACTCACTTCACATGACACACTCACTTCAATTGACACACTCTCTTCACATGACACACTTCACATGACACTTTGCATGATACTTCATATGACACTCACTTCACATAACACACATCACATGACACACACACTTCACATGACACACACACTTCACATGACACTTTGCATGACACTTCATATGACACTCACGTCACATGACACACTCACTTCACATGACACACTCACTTCACATGACACTTTGCATGACACTTCATATGACACTCACTTCACATGACACACTCACTTCACATGACACACTCACTTCACATGACACGCTCATTTCACATGACACACTCACTTCACATGACACTTTGCATGACACTTCATTTGACACTCACTTCACATGACACACTCACTTCACATGACACACTCACTTCACATGACACACTCACTTCAATTGACACACTCACTTCACATGACACACTTCACATGACACTTTGCATGATACTTCATATGACACTCACTTCACATAACACACATCACATGACACACACACTTCACATGACACACACACTTCACATGACACTTTGCATGACACTTTATATGACACTCACTTCACATGACACTTTGCATGACACACTCACTTCACATGACACACTTTGCATGTCACACTCACTTCACATGACACTTTGCATGACACTTCACATGACACACACACTTCACATGACACACTCAATTCACATGACACATTCACTTCACATGACACTTTGCATGACACACTCACTTCACATGGCACTTTGCATGACACACTCACTTCACATGACACTTTGCATGACACTTCATATGACACTCACTTCACATGGCCCTTTGCATGACACTGTCACTTCACATGACACACTTTGCATGAAACACTCACTTCACATGACACACTCACTTCACATGACACACTTCACATGACACACTCACTTCACATGACACTTTGCATGACACTTCATATGACACTCACTTCACATGACACACTCACTTCACATGACACACTCACTTCACATAACACACATACTTCACATGACACACTTAGCATGACACACTCACTTTACATGACACACTTCACATGAGTGAGTGAGTTGGGTTTAACGCCGCTTTTAACAGTATTCCAGTTATATCTAGGCATGTCAGCTTAATGTGGGAGGAAAGCCCGAAGTGATGCAGGTCTCAGACATTTACCACTTCGGTGAAACCCACAGGCATCGGTATGGTGCTGACAAACCTAGAAACATAATCGGGGCGAACCGGGATTCGAACCCACAATCATAGGTTTCTGGCGTGCCCAAGGGACGCAACTCTGCACAGCGAATCGCGGCGCCTGAGACGACTCGGCCACCCATGCCCCCCACTTCACATGACACACTCACTTCACATGACACACTTCACATGACACACTTCACATGACACACTCACTTCACATGACATACACTTCACATGACAAACTTTGCATGACACACTCACTTCACATGACACACTTCACATGATGCACTTCACATGACACACTTCACATGATGACACACTCACTTCACATGAAACACTTCACATGACACACTTCACGTGACACACTTCACATGACACACTTCACATGACACACTTCACATGACACACTTCACATGAAACACTTCACATGACACTCACTGCACATGACACACTTCACATGACACTCACTTCACATGAAACTTCACATGACACATTTCACATGACACACTTCACATGACACACTTCACATGAAACACTTCACATGACACTCACTGCACATGACACACTTCACATGAAACTTCACATGACACATTTCACATGACACACTTCACATGACACACTCACTTTACATGACACACTTCACATGACTCACTTCACATGACACACTTCACATGACACACTCACTTCAAGCAGGTCCTCCTCTTCCTGTGTCGGTGTATCTTGCACACCACCCATGCCGTGACACACACCATCAGGATGGTGGTACACACCAGGCCGAGAGTCAGGTAGATGGTCATGTGGTCAGTCCCCTCCTTCCCCATGGAATCTGAAACAACAAAGAACAGTGACATATTCAGATTAATGTCCTTCATCTAACTGCTTTCTACACACCCTGACCTGCGTAATCACCCAGCACTGCCAGAACAGGCTGAGTGTTGTGTCAAAACAGGTATTCAGTGATTCCTGTTCCTGCAATATTCTAGCTACATGACATGAATAATACACAATCAAAATCCAATCTTCAGTAACCTCCTTTTACAAAAAAACTTTCACCAAATGTGCCGCAGAAAGCCCAAGGGGGGGTTCTGAGACACAATATGACCTGATATTAATGTTTGCGTAATAACCCTAAACAGACAGAAACCCACCAGGTTTGACGGTCTGTTGGAACTGGAAACCCTTGATGCTGGTTTGTAGGTTCCCAACACGCCCACTGCTGACAGCATCATGGAGAACATTTCTCAGTGCCATGTAGCCAATCTTTTCTGTCATACTTGTCACATATTGTGTGTAAGTTGCCTCAAACTCGGCCAGCATTTCACTCTTGTCAGCTGAGGGCCTAATACACAATTATCATCATTTGGTTAGTCAACAGCAATAACTCAAATCAGTCAAAAGTGAAGGATAGAAACTATAAATATGTCATTTGAATAACATCTCTCCCAGTAAATGAGTATGTTATTCATGTTATTTTAGCATCCATAACTGGCTCCCATAGGAGATATCGCTTGGGTGAGGATATCGTTGCAATCAAATCGCATCACATTGCTTTGCAGACCATGGTTACCATGACGTCTCAATCAAATGACATCACTAATGGCCCTGCTATTGAAGCTGTTAGCAGTACTTTTGACACTTAAGACACTACTTATTACTGTCTACAAACTGAAAAAGTTGGAAGAATGATGTTGGATGATAATTAACCTTATGTCTTTTGATACCAAATATATCAACACTGGTTGATATATTTGATATCAAAAGACACATGGGTGAGACTCCATATATAGCTATTGCACTAAAGGATAAATAGAGAATCTCACCCATGTCTTAAGTGTAAAATGTACTGCTCTCCATTAGTGATGTCATTTGATATCAACTGTGGGAGCCAGTTTTGGATGATAATCTAAAATATCATGATGCTTGCAAAGTTTTTATTATGTATCTAACAATTTAGTACAATTCAATGTTCATATCATAAATTGTTCTTTTGGAATACAGCAACATATCTTATTATATCAATAAGGTTCAAATATCCCACTGCATGTAAGACACATAACATCTCCAGAGGGAGACAGCAGAGGTTCACCTGAGAGACTTCATGGTGACATCCAGCTGCCCAGTACTTCTCAGTGCCGACATTACATGTTCAACCTGCAAAACACCAAGTGCAATCAAGTTTGAAATGTGATACTGCATGAGCCTGCTACCTTGTCACAGTCATAAGTTTCAGTTATCATTAAGTTTAGGATCAACAAATTGATTCTGAGCATTCTATATCCATCCACCAAGGACGACCTGACCTGTCCACTGAAGTTGGCCAACACCGTCTGCCTGTTGTGTGTGGTGTAGGGCATGAGGATGGTCACCTTCCCCTCATAGCTGGAGATCACTACAAAAGGAAGGGATAGGTTAATACTCTTTTCTTAACAATCAGTGTGCACGAACGCAGTGTGTATACACAATATATTTCTCTTTTTGAATGTGCACCATAAACACATGCCCTGAAACACAAACGCAATTCAGACATCTGCAAGACAGATCAATGATGTTGCCAAAAAGTGAGAATATCAACCCTTTGTATGGCATCAGAAAATATGGCTGACATGACAGAAAATATAACAGAACACATGTGTTAAGCGCCACTACCAACTACAGAAAGAGCAAATTTGGTTACATTTTCAAAATAAATGGCTGAGAAAAGGCCATAAAAGGTTCAGGCTTTTAGCATTGTTAAAGTGCAAATGCCAACTCAAGGTCAACATATAAAATATCCAAAATCATATGCGTTGAGCCCCACCACCAGTAACACATATACCAAATTTCATTATTTATTGAGTAAGTAATGCTCATACCGGTACATATTATTGTTTAATATACTGCCATGGCATAGGCTCATTTGCCTTTCAGTCACTTCACAGTATCATCACAAACTAGAAGAAGAATTGTGTGAGAAATTGAAAACTGAGTGACTGAATACCTGTGTGCTTCTGCACCCGGCACCCGGCGCCTGTATACTCCATGGGGCACGCACACATCCCGGACTGCTCCACACACGTCCCACCATTGTAACACACAGTCCATGTGCACAGATCTGTAACATGGAGGTCAGCAAGTACATACAGTCCATGTGATCTGTAACATGGAGGTCAGCAAGTACATAGTCCATGTGCTCTGTAACATGGAGGTCAGCAAGTAACATAGTCCATGTGATCTGTAACATGGAGGTCAGCAAGTACATAGTCCATGTGCTCTGTAACATGGAGGTCAGCAAGTAACATAGTCCATGTGATCTGTAACATGGAGGTCAGCAAGTACATACAGTCCATGTGATCTGTAACATGGAGGTCAGAAAGTACATACAGTCCATATGATCTGTAACATGGAGGTCAGCAAGTACATAGTCCATGTGCTCTGTAACATGGAGGTCAGCAAGTAACATAGTCCATGTGATCTGTAACATGGAGGTCAGCAAGTACATACAGTCCATATGATCTGTAACATGGAGGTCAGCAAGTAACATAGTCCATGTGATCTGTAACATGGAGGTCAGCAAGTACATACAGTCCATGTGATCTGGAACATGGAGGTCAGCAAGTACATACGGTCCATGTGATCTGTAACATGGAGATCAGCAAGTACATACAGTCCATGTGATCTGGAACATGGAGGTCAGTAAGTAACATAGTCCATGTGATCTGTAACATGGAGGTCAGCAAGTACATACAGTCCATGTGATCTGTAACATGGAGGTCAGCAAGTACATACAGTCCATGTGATCTGTAACATGGAGGTCAGAAAGTACATACAGTCCATATGATCTGTAACATGGAGGTCAGCAAGTACATAGTCCATGTGCTCTGTAACATGGAGATCAGCAAGTACATACAGTCCATGTGCTCTGTAACATGGAGGTCAGCAAGTACATACAGTCCATGTGATCTGTAACATGGAGGTCAGCAAGTACATACAGTCCATGTGATCTGTAACATGGAGGTCAGCAAGTACATACAGTCCATGTGATCTGTAACATGGAGGTCAGCAAGTACATACAGTCCATGTGATCTGTAACATGGAGGTCAGCAAGTACATACAGTCCATGTGATCTGTAATATGGAGGTCAGCAAGTACATACAGTCCATGTGATCTGTAACATGGAGGTCAGCAAGTACATACAGTCCATGTGATCTGTAACATGGAGGTCAGCAAGTACATACAGTCCATGTGATCTGTAACATGGAGGTCAGCAAGTACATACAGTCCATGTGATCTGTAACATGGAGGTGGGCAAGTACATACAGTCCATGTGATCTGTAACATGGAGGTCAGCAAGTAACATAGTCCATGTGCACAGATCTGTAATATGGAGGTCAGCAAGTAACATACAGACTATGAGCACAATCCTGAAGAACATTGACAAAAAACAAACATTTGAACTATAATCATTAAACTTGACTACACCAAGCAGTATGCTGAAGAAAATACCCCATATTGTCTGGAGGTGATTTTACATTGTATATCTTATGTTCAGTTCAACACTTGAAAATACTTTTTTAAGAATCCATCTCAATATTGAGACCAACCTGTAGTTGTAGACAGGAGTGTAGTTGTTGGTGTTGATGTAGACGGCCCCAAAGTGCCGTCAACCTCACACTGCCTGCCACTGTAGCCGGGGCTGCAGTCACACATGAAAGTGTTGTTGGGCATGGACACACAGACGCCTCTGTCGAAACATGGGTACGCATCACAAGGGCTGACATAGCCACAGTTGGAGTCCAGCATCACTCCCGGCAGTGTAGGGCAGTGACAGATGTAGCCGATGTCACTGTCTTCAGCCTCACACCTTCCACCATTTACACATGGGACCAGGGAACAATCTGACACGACCTTCACCTCACATCTATGACCTTTCCAATGAAGGTTGCAATAGCATACATGGCGGCCATTTTCAAATTCACAAGCCCCTCCATTTTGGCAAGGGTTTTGTCGACATCTGCGAGTGTGGATTTCACATCGAGTGCCGTTGTAGCCTTCAGGACAGTTGCAATTAAAGGTGTCACCACTTGGCGAACAGACACCACCGTTTTGACAAGGATTTGGCCAGCAGGAAGTGCCAAGGTCCTCACAGTGTGGCCCTGTGTTGGTGGTCCTGCACTCACACTCGTAACCACCAACTCGAGACACACACACGCCACTGTTCAAACATGGGTTGGATTCACAATAGTCTATCGTACTTTGACAGTTCTGACCTGATGAAGATAAAGAATAACTATAGATATTAGGTAATAATTTCTTTTAATGCTTTCCTTCTGTCCGATTTCTGGTGGACACCACTAGATACTTACCAAACATGTCTCTGTGTATCCGTTATCAGATACCATTGCTGATACCATATCCAGTGGTATCCACCAAGAATCCAGCTGACAGATAGGTGTATTAAAATATGGTGACAAAAGTGCATAACACTTTTCTGGAAACTTGGAACATTTTAGAATGCATCAGACATATCACATCCTTATCAGAGCACTCAGCAATAAATGATGTTTGTTGGTCCCATTCAAGTAGTCCTTTTATATCATTAGAATTATCCCTCTGTCATTTAGAATAAACTTAATCAACCATTAGAAAGAAATCATATTTAATTGATGAACATCAACAAAAATTATTCCTGTACAAATATTTAAACACATATGGGAGTCAATTTTTTCATTCCCATTACCAACTACACGATATTGTCTTAAAACAAATAAATACCGGTATAGAAAAAATAATATAGTCTGTGGCTGTTACTTTCCTTACCAGTAAACCCTGCGGGACAGTGACAGGTGATGTCCCATGGATCTGGGCCGTCTGTGCAGGAAGCCCCATTCTGACAAATACCCAATACACACTCATCTATTGGTTCATCACAGCCATTGCCTTGGTAACCATACTTGCAATGGCTGCAGTTGTATCCTCCAAGCATATCTTCACATACATGATTCGGCTGACATGGGTAGCTGTCCATCATCTTGCACTCATCTACATCTGCAGCAGATGGAACAATAACATATTCTAAACGTCTACAAATCTTGTATGCTTGCAATTGTATACGATATAGTGATAAATATAGAAAACCTATTGTTTTACCAATATTTTTATATCAGTGCAAAAAGTCACAAAGCAGCAGTTACTTTACAGTAGTGTATATGCTGATGTTTAACAAAAGATCAAACTTAAATCAATGCATTGTAACATACATCGTGTTTGAAGAGACCAGTGGGTGGTAACCTTTCAGAACAAATCCATCATTTTATGTCCGGCAGTTAGTCAAATGGTAGAGCACCTGCCTGGGAAGCGGAAGGTTAGGCCAGGTTCAATACCTGGCTTCGTCATACCAAAGACGTTAAAAGAAGGTACTTGTTGTTACCCTGCCTTGCATTTGGCATAAAGGGGCTAAAACAAGGACTGGTCGGCTGGGAGTCAGTATACTGTGTCTGAGTGGGGTATTCATGTTAAGCTGTGGCATGGTAACACACGCACGCATGCACGCCACACGCACACACGCATGTCACAATGTAAGTACAATAATCTTAAACGCAAAGTTAACCCCAATTTCACCTTTATTTCCAGTATCTCCACATGTCTTTGGAAATGGAATGTCAAGGGCACAAGATTAATCAGAATAGATGCAAGGCCCCTAATGGATGCCAACTTCTATCATGGTTGGAGGGAAGGTAATCAAATAGTGTCATAGTGTCACTGTTTTCGAACCACCCCATCGGTGTCTCAACAGTACATACAAATCACTGTCTCCGTGTTACTGCAGCCTCAAATACATTTTGAATAATGTCTGTCACTGTCTGGTAATATCTACAAGACCAGTGTCATTAAAATAGCCTTGGTATGTATCTCTGGTCAACTATATCCATCAATCCGTCAGCTGTGGTTCAGATTTGTAAGCCTCCATATGAAAAGTGCTCTGTATTGTTCCTGGAGTACTATGCTCCTTTTCTGCATTTCCTTGTTAAACATAACGCTACTATCTCGGTCAGGGATACACGCAGTTCCATCACATTGATATGAAATGGGGGTATATAAGTGTATATCTTAAGTTTTAGTTAAAAACTGAGAAACTAATGTGTCAAATAAATAATTTATGAATGGTAGATTATTTGTTTTTCCTGTAAATCATGCCATTTTGCGAGTGAAAATTGGTGCTGTTTTGGCCAGTCTTATTTTGATTCCTATTTATCCTGACTCCTCTCACTTGTGTATCCTTGCTCCCCCGACAACCTCAACTTCCGAGCAATGAAGACAAACAACTCACCCAAACATCGAGATCGGTTGCTAATAAGAACATCTCCATAGATTCCATCCATGACTTGTGTCCATGACAATACAGTGCCATATGACATGTCACACTGGCTCTGATTGGCTAAGACTGTGATCTGGCCTTCAGAAAGAGGCTCGTCATAGATGTTAAACTGGCTTATCTCTCCAATAAAGGATTCCCAGAAGTTAAAGATGTTGCCCTGAGTATTTTGTTGCTGACCTGAAAGATGTACATTGACTTTATTAATTAAACATCACCTGATGTTCTCAACATTTACTGTATAATTTCGGAATTTGAATTAATGTTGTTGTTTTTGTCAGTATATCTCATTGAGAAAGGACTGACTGAATGTTGTTTGTCAAGAGATGAGTGAAGGTTACATATGCCCTATTTTGTTTTAAAAAACTTCAAATAAGAATAATCCGTTTTTTCAACCAAAGAAAAGCGGTTTGTTTGCATACACCCATCTACCTACTCTCCCTGCTTCACTTCACCTGATGTCTACCCTGTGGTCACCCATCCACCTACTCTACCTGCTTCACTTCACCTGATATCTACCCTGTGGTCACCCATCTACCTACTCTACCTGCTTCACTTCAGCTGATATCTACCCTGTGGTCACCCATCCACCTACTCTACCTGCTTCACTTCACCTGATATCTGCCCTGTGGTCACCCATCCACCTACTCTACCTGCTTCACTTCACCTGATATCTGCCCTGTGGTCACCCATCTACCTACTCTCCCTGCTTCACTTCACCTGATATCTGCCCTGTGGTCACCCATCCACCTACTCTACCTGCTTCACTTCACCTGATATCTGCCCTGTGGTCACCCATCTACCTACTCTCCCTGCTTCACTTCACCTGATATCTGCCCTGTGGTCACCCATCTACCTACTCTACCTGCTTCACTTCACCTGATATCTGCCCTGTGGTCACCCATCCACCTACTCTACCTGCTTCACTTCACCTGATATCTGCCCTGTGGTCACCCATCCACCTACTCTACCTGCTTCACTTCACCTGATATCTGCCCTGTGGTCACCCATCCACCTACTCTACCTGCTTCTCTTCACCTGATGTCTGCCCTGTGGTCACCCATCCACCTACTCTCTGCTGCTTACATTAAAGTCAATGAAATTGGTCTTACCAATAACTAAAGTGCCTCCACCAATCAGCTCATACCCCATTGCCAGTCCCACCCCGGTTGCATGTCTTGTTCCGTTGATGTAGATGTTCCACACTCCGCCATCACTCTGCCAGATGACACAGACATGATGCCACACATGGGGCGACAGTGTTACGCTGCCAGTCACACTCTCCTGTCTCAGTGTCAGCTGGAATCCAAACTGATGATGAGTTGTGTGACCTTACAAACAGTGTGACAGACACCTCCAGGATGTTTTCATGGGTATTTAATGACATCAATAATTCATATCATTCAATAATTGAAATTAGTTCTATCCTAAAATTGACTCTGTGACATCACTTGAAGCCAAATATTCACAAAAACTTCAGGGGCGGTCGGGTAGCCTAGTGGTTAAAGCTTTTGCTTGTCACGCCGAAGACCTGGGTTCTATTCCCGACATGGGTACAATGTGTGAAGCCCATTTCTGGTGTCCCCCGGCGTGATATTGCTGGAATATTGCTAAAAGCGGCGTAAAACCGTACTCACTCACTCACTCACCAAAACTTCACCAAATATTTCTTGGATGAATCATGAAATTACTTTTCAGATATCACAAAATCCTTATCCACAAATTCCTTATCCACAATTAACATGCTGGTGAGAAGGAAACTGTTGATGCCAGATATTTAGAAACTCCTCCCACAAAATGTACAATGGAGGAACAACTCTTGAGAGTGATTAGGAAAGTCATAATTGCAAGACGTTCTGCTGTATTAAGTACAGAACATAATAAATCTATGAAAATATGAAATGTACAGTGGTTTGTTCAAAATTCACAACTGCTCATTTCAGGAAACAAAAGTGTAAAAAAACATAGAACATGTTTTTATCAACCAAAACATAGATGTTTCAAATATCCATCATTTAAGAACTGTTTCAGCATTTAATCGTACCTTCAGTCCTCCATTGTCGCTCAGACCAAACTCAGGTACAATGGTGCCATCATTCTCATGTCCAGGTATTGTATAGGAGAAAATAGTTCCTGATCCCAATACTTGACTGGTTCTTATCCAGGTACAGACACTGACCGCTAGCATTGCCGGGATTTCCTCCCTTTCCATTGTAACAAAGCCATAGGAAGATCTATGAGCAAATACTAGGTCAAAGTCGGGGTCAACTTCTGAAAGAGCAGAATTGAAGAATGTACCCAGTTAAAAATGTCGATGTAAATATTTATAGTATGTCATGGTGGATACACACACACACACACACACACACACACACACACACACACACACACACACACACACACACACACACACACACACACACACACACACACACACACACACAAACACACACACAAACACACACACAAACACACACTAAATCACCTTGGCATGACATAAAGGATGGGATTAGACAAAGGATGGCATTATATAAAGGATGGCATAACACAAAGGATGGCATTAGACAAAGGATGGTGTTTATATAAAGGATGGCATTATACAAAGGATGGCATAACACTAAGGATGGCATAACACAAAGGATGTCATTATATAAAGGATGGTGTTATGTACTACTTCACTTGTGATAGGAATATTTTCATGTTTCCATGATACACAAACATGATATAATATGTCATGTGTATATCTAACTATATCTGGAATAACTGAGTATCCATATTTAAAGTTGGCAGTATATATAGGCTTGCATTACATGGAGATTGACAAACTGCACCTTCTTGACACTGGTCAGCCATAAATCCCCCTGGACAGCTGCAGTAGTAGCCGTTCACTCGGTCAAAACACCTTCCCCCATTCCGACATGGACTGCTGGCACACTCATCAATTTCAAAAGAACACTGTTTACCTGGGAACACAAAACATGGGCCTAGTTGACATCATGGGAATTAATGATGCACACAAATCTTATCCAGCAAGAAATGTTTTCACATCCAATGAGCAAAAAACATTCTCATCACCCATTTTCTTTTTCCTTGGGAAAATGAGTGTATGCAATGCAGTGGGTGAAATGTGGGTTCGCTCGACCTACATACAGTAGATTCGTTATTACTGACACAAACCCACACACTTACGGATATTACTAATACCCAGTAAATGCCAACATAGACATAAATATCATCTAAAGAAAGTGAAAAAATACAAATTGGCAGCTCTTTGTGTTATCAAAAGAATACTAAAATGTACCAAAAGCTCTTCAGATATTGCAAGACCTTCACCATGACCTCAGCCTTCAGGGAACTGCTGACAGGGCGAGGTATATCCTAGCTGGGATTATGTGTCCATGTGTGGTCATGGTACAAGTTAAAACCTAGAATGAAACATTAAGGCAAAAAGTGTTGTCACAGAGACGTAAAACCCTAATTTCCTCATGGAATGCATGTCTATAGGTTTTGTTTGGTGGTCAATAGGTCTGCCAAGGGCATGAAACCTCTGTCTTCACTTGAACAGTAAAATTGAATGACTGTGATAATGAAAACACTCGCAGAGGAAGCATGAACGTGAGATTGATGAAAACATGGACAACTATGAATAAATTTGGAAATACTTACCAAAATAGCCAGGGAGACAATCACACTCAAAGTCATTCTGAAATGTGTGGCATTTCCGGGAGTTTTGACACGGGAATGTCAAGCAGAGGTCAATCAGGATATCACAATGCACACCTGCAAGTAATAAAATGAGTGAGTTTGGTTTGAGAGAAATTTACCACTTTGAGGAAACCCATCAGAACAGGTGAGGTGCTGATAAACCAAGGAACATGATCAGTGTCAATCCTGGATTTGAACCAATGATCATAGGTTTCTGGTATGCCTGAGGGTTGCAACATTGCACAGTGAATTGTGGGGCTTAAGACTATTGGCCCACCTACACAGTAATAAGGTAAATGGGGCCGAATCATGTGGGATGTTGTTACAAATAAAGGACTGGTATAAGAGGTCTTGAAAACTATTTATTTTCTTAACATCAGAAAGCTCTTGAACAAATCTGAATTTTGTTGGAGTGTAATTTTATGTTTCATAGTTAATTTTCTGCAAAACTGGGCCTCAACATGAGTATTGGCCATAACACATCTATTTTTGAGGTTGTCAAATGTCCAAAATTTACAAGATAAGGAAACAGTTGAAATTTGAAAACCTTGAATACATGTTATTAACTGTTTGGTAAAGTTTCCCAAAACATCTGCTAACTAACCCGTCGACCTAACTATCTACCAACTCACCTATCTACCAAACCATATACCAACTCACCAAATACCAAAACATCTACCCACTCATCCATCTATCTACCAAACTATCTACCAGCCCAACCATCAAGTAGCAAATGGTTCAGCGTGTTTATAAATATCAGAATGGTGATATAAAGAAACTACAACAGACATAAAATTTTAACAGGCTATACTTGACCCATACTCCGTACATACCTGCAAAACCTCCCTGACAGTTACACCTGCAGATTCCACCATCATTGACAGGGTAGCCATGGTAGCAGTTATATTCATGACACTCATCCCGCTGTTCACAGTTGACCCCTAGGTAACCACTCTGACAGTAACATGAATAGCCATTGGCTCCTTCCAGATCCATACAGGAACTGCCATGTTGGCATGGTGATGATATACACGCATCAATGTCCAGCTCACAATAAGTACCTGAAAAAACAGTTTCAGTTGTCTCATCAATAACTGCACTCATATTTGTGGCTATGCATATGTGTGTCTCTTCTAATTTTTGAAGTTGTATACCATCCATGAGTACTTAAACTGTTATTTAGAAACCAGTCCTTGGCCACTTTATTCATTGGCAGGTAACCTATTTTCTGTGAAATTGATTCATTTACTAATTAAATTTGATGGATATTCATCAGTATCTGTTCAGATGTTGTCTTGGAATGAGACATAACCCAATCTTAAATCATCAGTAGAGACTTATTTTGCTGATTATATAATTAGGTCTAATAATGAAATAATAATGCTTACGATCACCAAGCCTAACACCAGTACCTGTATATCCTGCACCAGTACCTGTATATTCCTGAATAGTTCCTGTATATCCTGCTACAGTACATGTATATCCTCTTATGTACCTGTATATCCTGCACCAGTACCTGTATATTCCTGAATAGTTCCTGTATATCCTGCTACAGTACATGTATATCCTCTTATGTACCTGTATATCCTGCACCAGTACCTGTATATTCCTGAATAGTTCCTGTATATCCTGCTACGTATACAGTACATGTATATCCTCTTATGTACCTGTATATCCTGCACCAGTACCTGTATATTCCTGAATAGTTCCTGTATATCCTGCTACAGAACATGTAAATCCTCTTATGTACCTGTATATCCTCTTACGTACCTGTATATCCTGCACCAGTACCTGTATATTCATGAATAGTTCCTGTATATCCTGCTACAGTAAATGAATATCCTCTAATGTACCTGTATATCCTCATAAGTACCTGTATATCCTGTTACAGTACCTGTATAGCCTGTTACAGTACATGTATATCCTCTGACAGTACCTGTATATCCCATTACAGTACCTGTATATCCTGCTACAGTACCAGTATATCCTGGTACAGCACCAGTAAATCCTATTACAGTACCTGTATATCCCCTGATAGTATCTGTATATCCCATTACAGTACCTGTATATCCTGCTACAGTACCACTATATCCCATTACAGCACCAGTATATCCTGTTACAGTACCTGTATATCCTCTTAAGTACCTGTATATCTTGCTACAGTACATCTATATCCTGTTACAGTACCTGAATACCCTGCTACAGCACCTGTATATCCTCTTAAGTACCTGTATATCCTGCTACAGTACCTTTATATCCCATTACAGTACCTGTATATCCTGCTATAGCACCTGTATATCCTGCTATTTTTACCTGTATATCCTGCTATAGTACCTGTATATCCTCTAACAGTACCTGTATATCCTCTAACAGTACCTGTATATCCTGCTATTTTACCTGTATATCCTGCTATAGTACCTGTATATCCACTGGAACACTGGCAGGTGAAGTTCCCCACCCCGTCTGTGCAAGTCCCATTGTTGACACATGGGCTGGACACACACTCCAAGACTTGTGTCTCACACAATGCCCCAATGTACCCTGCCGGACATACACACACTGTCCCGTTCTGGGCAACCGCCACACACTGACCCCCATTCTCACATGGGACTGTAGCACTACTGATGCAGGGGTCATAATCTGAAAAATGAGCAATCATTAGATTCAGGTCAAAGTACTTCATAAAGAACTGCTCAAGATGAAATTGATGCCATCAGTCTATCACAGTATATTGGAGAAATCAAAGTTGTCTCTCCATCTAGTAAGCTGCATGACGTTGTCAAAAGAATACATTATTGTGTGTGCAAATTCAAACAATGGTCGGTCTCCAAAAAAGATTGAGTGAGTGAATATTAGAAACCCTTACAACAATATTCTAGCAATAAGAAGATGGTGGACTACCAAATGACACCCGACACATTGTACAAGTGTAGTATACCTAGTCATTCAGGGTTACAGCTTTCATCATCATAACTGACCATAAGGTATACCATCACTTATCCATTGAATCAAAGACGTATATAGAATATACGTCCGTGATTGAATATATACAACACTTTTACAACCAGAATGATCTTCAAACAATAAAATTATTTTTGAAAGTATTCCCAAATGACATGCAATAACAGGGTGTGTGATCTCTGGAGCATGTGCTACCTACCAACACACTGATCCTCAGAAATGGCTCCAGTAGTATTTGCCATTTTAGTTCCAGGACAGAGTAGGCAGCCTGTGCTGCCACCCAGTGGTTGGTAGGAACCAAAGGGACATAACTCACACGGCTCAATGCCACCCTGACCATAACTTCCAGGTAAACAAACATGTTGACATTGTCCTGCTGACTCTGCCCCCTGGTGGAGGGTGGACGTGTTCGCCGGGCAGTCCAGACATGTTCGGGATGCTGGGATCTCCTGGTAGGTTCCAGCTGGACACGGAAAGCAGGTGGCAAGTCCAGATGAAGAGCTGTACCCTGGTGCACACGGAGCTGGAACATGTCAGGTGAGACATTCTGTCGCATTCCTTATCATGCTAACAACATCAACAGACAGAGGCATTCATCTGAAACACCTGCAATGGTCAGAAATTATAACTTGGCTTAAATTGTACAACTTGAACAATTTACTACCTTAACAAAGAACCAACCTTGTAACAAGGTCATCCACTAGGGCCACCATTTTCATATAGGAATCATATATAATCTTGCGAGACTCACCATCTTATGCATCTATCATCTACAAACCGTCTTTTAACAGATCTATCTTTCAGAAAATCACAACAGATCTTACTTCAAACATAACCTATCTGCTACCTGTGACATCTCCTAACACATCTTATATCAAATAGAGCCTATCTTGTACAAACTATGGCACCAATCTTGAACTAGGAATCACCTCCCTACAGGACCCTTCTAAACCTGGAGCTGTTTTCAAACCAGTGAGTGAGTGATTTCAGTTTAATGCCACTGTGAACACAAATTCAATGACATCACTGGACGTCAACCCAAAGTGACACAGCTTATAGATGTTTATCACTGGGTGTCAGCCCAAAGTGACACAGCTTATAGATGTTTATCACTGGGTGTCAGCCCAAAGTGACACAGCTTATAGATGTTTATCACTGGGTGTCAGCCCAAAGTGACACAGCTTATAGATGTTTATCACTGGGTGTCAGCCTAAAGTGACACAGCTTATAGATGTTTATCACTGGGTGTCAACCCAAAGTGACACAGCTTATAGATGTTTATCACTGGGTGTCAACCCAAAGTGACACAGCTTATAGATGTTTATCACTGGGTGTCAACCCAAAGTGACACAGCTTATAGATGTTTATCACTGGGTGTCAACCCAAAGTGACTCAGCTTATAGATGTTTATCACTGGGTGTCAACCCAAAGTAAGGTACTGACAAACGAAGGATCATTAACATGATTTGAACCCATGATTAGTGGATCCTGGCACATGAAGGGACACAACTATTGCCTCGAATCCAGCCACTGTACAAATTCCAATGCCTCCTACTCCACCTACTTCGACAGTCCGTGCTGTTGGTGGCCCCCTCTGCCATGGTAGTGGTGTTGTCTGGACACTGCTGACACTCTAGCTGACCCTCCAGGTCTTGGAACTGACCAACTGGACAGTCCATGCAGGTCCTGTTCATGCTGTATGTTCCTACAGGGCACATTACTGTCAGAAGAACAATAACAAAATAACTTCCCAAAATGGACAAATAGACAACACAATTTATAACCATAAGCTGTTCAGTTAAAAGAAGTATTTGCTTCTAAGTTGACTTAGTCCTCCCCTGCCACAAACAGGACAGCATATTTGATATAGTAGCTCTAATATTGGTTGGGTGTAATTTGTCATGCTTTCGTGGGCTTGACATCATCAAACTTTGGGTACTTCAAGATTGTGTGCACATGTTCCTATTACGTTTTCCAGAGATATGTCATGAATTAATGTGACACAAGCAACGGATCGGCCTCTGTTGCAACTTTGATAAATTAATGTTTTATGACAACATGTACCTGGTGCAAGTTAAATCAAGTTCCTTAAGTTGAGCTTTGTCAGCCCATTAAACAATAAACTGGTAAAGGTATTCTTGTCTCCAGTTAGAGCAAACAAATCATCTTCAGCTTTAAATAACATGATCCATGCAATTCGAAAGCCACATCAAGGTTCATGTTTCATGTCATAAGATTCACTATGTATTTAGAGAGTCGATTACTTGTGCTTTTGGATGCGGAAAACTAAGTTTGTATGTTAGTCTTTCCATTTAAATAGACCCATTTAATCATAATTTCAACCAACCAGCAATTCTTTTCATAGATGACTAAAACATATAATCATTGAATGTTTCAGATACTAAAACTTAGAGTTTTCTTGGAAGAAGAATATCAACAAGTTCATTTCATTTTAACACCATGAATAGATCTGATTCCTACTACACATCCTAAAGTTTCATCCTTCAGTTGGTTCAGAGAAGAAGACAAAATGTAAATGGACAGATGGACAGACTGAAGGATGGTGCTAAGGCCACCAGCCAGATGAGGGCTTACTACATGTCTTGCTGTTATATGAGTTTCTTGTGATGAGTCCTGGTCCACAGTCATCAAACTGAGGCTCGTCATAGTACATAGGTGCTGCTGGCAGGAGAAGGTCGGAGGAGGAGTTGTCCAGGACAAGTCTGCTCTGATTCAGCACATGTACAAGATTGTCAGCCATGTTGTACAGGAAGTCTGTTACCACCAGCTGCTCCTGAAAGGTCATGTCCGTCATGTTGGAGGACAGGGTCAGAGTAAAGTCAATCTTGACCCTCTCAATAGTGTTGCCACTTCGAGTGTTCACAGTCCCGGGAGAAGTCACATCAGAACCTCTAGGTCCTGCATCAGTTGATGTTATTTGTGTTGATAGTGTTGAAGGTGCTGTGGACGAGGAGTCGTCCCTGGTAGAGTATTCCTGACTTGTTGACTGGAATGATGCTGCATCAGCTGTTTCAGATTCAGATCTTAGTGATGTGGATCCATCATCAGATCTCGGCGTTGTTATCATGGGCAGAGGATCATCCTCCTCAACTCCATCACTCAGATTATCTTCAGATATAGCAGCAGGACCAGTGTCTTTTTCTGTGGTGTCAAAATCTTCATGAATATTAGTGACATATGGAACTCCTACTGTTGTCGAGCCACCAGCAACAACCAGACCAGGATTTGGTTCATCAAACATGATGTTATCAGCATATGCCTCATCACCACCAGATCGCATGAACACTGTTGGATTCACTAAAATGCCCCCTTGATTCCTTTTACCAACATGGATAGGAAAATGGCCCTCCTTAAGATTTGTAGGGGAGACTGGAACCTTACTATTCCTTTTCTGTCTTGTCCTTGAAGAAGTACCAGAAACAATTCCTGTCAAGAATCTGGAAACTGCTTGATGAGTCTTCAACATCTCTCTCCCTAATTGTTCTCTTCGGACGCCATTTATCTTTTCAAAATACGCTTTCCCAGAAGATGCTGTGTCTCTTGACCTGTTTCTTTGGTATCTGTTGCTAGGTAACCTGACCTCCCTGCGCCTCCGTGAGTTAACTCCACAGGACACCTTGATATCATCTAGCGGACAGGAATCAGAGCCACACACGTCCCATGAGCGACTCTGAATCCATTCTTCAAACTTCTGTGCAATCACATCCTTCTTCTGTTCACAAGCCCCTCCATAGTAGAAATATTCAGCATATGGTTTCATCCTCGCACGACTCGGATGTCTGGTGCCTGGAAATAATTTGCTCATCAGTGAATCAATAAGCAGTGTGTGTCTTATTCAGCAGTGAGTAACCCTCTTGTGATATTTAGATAAAAAACATAGTAAAACACACAGTGAGTTAACTCACGCCAAATGATACCGTTAATACCAAAGTTTGAAGCTATATGATCTTGTGTGAGTGAGTGTGTGTTGCTCTATTCCTGAGTAGGAAAACTTACGTGTCTGCTTGTAACAACTAAGTCAAACACACCAGTTGGTTGATAGCTTGAGTGATGTGTCGTGGGCATGGCAACCCATGTCTGCCAGGACACTGCTACTGTCCATGTTGGTATCCTGCTAGGACAACCACAGGGATCAATTCTAGGGAATATCAGCTCCGCCATAAGCTGATACTGTCCCTGTTTTGGGGTAAATGAGTCATTGCACTTTTATCCAGAGAACAGCAATATCTCAACTATATCACATCAGCCTATGACTGATCAAGACATATGGTTCATAGCAAGATTCCCATAACACACTGGCTGGAGATTAGGACCCTGGTCACACACTTACATATCTTGAATGAAAGTTGTGAGCAACATTCCAGCTATATCTCATATCTCATATATCTCTCAGTATTCCAAACTACAGTTACAGGCTTTATGACTGAATCCACACTCTAGGCCATCTGTCAGCCATTCCAGAAAGTTCATTTATTCCGTTTTCAAATGTTTAATCAAGAATTTGTCAAAATATGTTTCAAAGCGAAGTCGTAAGTTTAAAACAAGTACCATAAAGCACAAGAAAGCTGCTTGCTGATTGGCTAATGCTAATATCACCTCCTTGTCGGAGACATCACCCGTAATGGGATGTCCTCAGATCTTTGTTTAGCGGTTGCAAGAACTAAGATCTGATTTTAATTGACTCTTGAGACAAGCATTGGTTACTGTGCATGTATTCTAACCCAGAATACCCATAGGGTCATTCACATCCTGAAAACGATTCATATCCATGGGGAAATCTATGGTCTGTATAGTTACAGGTTAAGTTTAACAAGTGTTCTGCCCCATTTGGAGGGGGAGTTGTCCTGTGATGTACATACGTGAACAGTCTGGCCACCATGTGTCCCTCTGACGGAGTGCCCACTGTCCATTGAGACAGCGGTAGATGAGCTGAGGCTGACTGTAGAAGTCATAGTTGTTGTTACACTTGACACTGCAGATTGTCAGTGCGTCCGATGACTGCGAGCATGTGACACTGCCATGCAGGGGCTCGCGGGGATGACGACACACAATACCTAGGAGGGGAAGTAGAAGAGGACATATCATGTCCACAGACGGAACAGAAAGCAGAGATGGAGTGGGTGCTGGGCATTTTAAGTTGTTGTCAGTAATTTTGAAAGTTCAGTCAATACAAGTGTATTTCAAGCATGGAAGTAATTGTATCTTGTTTGTTTTTTCTATTGCTCAAGCACTATACTTTTTCATCTTTAAAGCTCAAGGCACTTATACAACAACCACTGTACTGCTACATAAGCACAAGATTGATAGGCACTTTTTGAAAATGTTAAACTTTCATAATTAGCTATAACTCTTGAGGTCAAGGCATCTAATTGGGAATTAGTTTTGAACGTACCTTCAGTGAATATCAGTGTTTGAGAAGAAACAAAAAGACTAATACAGACGGCCAAATGGAACTCAAGACTGTAAATCTGGAAAGTTTTGCCCCATGAAGTTACTGTGAGTGGCTAATACTGACTTTAACTGTGTCTGGAAAGTTTTGCAACACCCGGTTAAGATTACTAAAAATCAAAGATACATTTGTATGTGTTATTTTTTACAAGTAGGAAGCTGCATAATGAAATGGTAACTCAGTCTCAGTCAGTTTTTTTTCAACTATAGATGCATGTGTTATCGTAGTTGACAAGCGAGGTTGGAGTAGCATGTTTATCTAACAGTATCACCTGGCTGGCGTATATCTGGACTACTCAGTGATACGTCAACAACTTGATGAGAGGCAGGTGAGGGAACTTAGACAATTAGACTGTTGTCACTGAGTGACAATGTGTCATTAGAGAAACACAGGATGTGAGGGATTACTTGTTTACCCATGTACTGGCTGGTTTGACAATGTGTTGAAGTGAATTAAAAAAATATATGACTCCTTACATCTTTTGTTTGTTGTTGTTCTGCAAAAATAACTGTGTCATGAAACTATTGCAAGTGTGTGTCACTTGCAGTTTTCGTTGTACTTTCCTGTTCACAAAACTTTCCAGATTTACAGTGTCTTGAAGCTGCTACTCAGCAAACTATGTCTGACATTAATTTGAAAATGAATACATGCTCTTATATTATGTCCAATTGCTCTTTATATACATTATGTGCAAGTGATCTTATATTATGTATGTCCCAGTCTGATCTCATCCATGCCAACCCCAATGATTCTAACCATATCACTCTCAATGCCTTACCTTCCAGCGTGACGGAGAACACACAGATGGGAAGGTTCTGCACAGTGTCCTGTGGTGTGCAACGGACATTCCTTGTTCCAATTGGAAACACTGATCCATTAGGAATGGAGCAAATGAAGGGAATGGTGTTGTTATTGTTGTCACGGAACACTGGGGATGTCCAGTTGACCACTTGACCAGACCCCAGAACATTGCCCTTCACAATGCTCCCCGGACAAGAATCCATCCTGATTATCTTCTCTGAAATGTTGCAACATAGATCAGAAAAACGATGTACAAATCACAAGACAAGAACCTTTCAACCTGCATATGCAGCTGGACTATTAAATAAAGCCAACCTTTTCAGCAATCCTTTCAATCTGAATTTCTAGATGAGCTACGACTGCCTTACCCACAACATGTATGCCCCGAGTGCAGAAGGCCTCGTTGCCTGCAGCATCTTGCACCTGGTAGTTGATCTGATGATAGCCCACTGCCAAGTGAGCCGGGGATGTTCTCAACCCGATCACCTGCAGCCGGAGGTTAGCATCCCCGGAGTTGTCCGAGTACTGTGGAGATTTAGCATCCCAGTGGACAATGGCGTAGTTGGCTGTGGTGACCGGTGTGCGGATGTCGGGGGGGCATGTGATTGTTGGGGATTCAGTATCTGAAATGGAGGCTTAGTGAGTCAGCAGCCTGCAAAGTGTGATCAGAACGGCAGCACACCAACTTGTGGTGGATAATGTGAACATCATAATGAGTCTAAAAATGTAAATTAATCAATATTTTGCTTGATGTACACAGCCATACCAGATAACATTGTCAGGGCTAGATATTGGTGTCCTAAATATCTATTTTTCTGATTCCATTTATAATTATGTATGATAATAATATTTGGGAGTAAGGTTCAAATGAGTTGTGTTCCTACCAACACAAATAGTATCTTCCACAGTGTCCCAGGTTCCGCGTGATGAACATGTCCGCTGGGGTGGGCCTGTCTGGGTGTAGCCGGCCCTGCAGGACAGGGTGCACACAGTACCAGGGAGCTGGCGGGTCCTGGAGCACTCCACCCCCTGGACTGACCCCCCGGGGGGTGGCTGAATAGCTTGGCAGCGTGCCTCTGCAGGGGCATTTAAACATATACATATATAATGCTGCCAAGGTAAACTGCTGCCCCCAAGATACAATCCAAGTAGGTTGAATTTAAGATAAAATGACATTGTTAAAAGTCTCTTAGAATCACTATCCTTCACACACAATTTTACCTCAGTCACTGAATTTTTAAGAACAAAAGTTTCATTTTTAATCAAAATGTGATGATTAAATCTGAACCCTAATGTAGTCCTACATCTCCAGTTTTAGTTTTGAGAAGATGATGATTAAATATTTTCCATAACTGAAGAATATTCTTTCAATTAAAAAATATCTCCATAGGTCAATTCTATGAACAAATCCGAGTAACATAATAGTTCTGGACATCCTCTAAAAGTTACAGCTCTCTGGCCTTGTGATTTCTGAGAACCAGTTCTTAAAGATTTTCAAAGTTGGGTTTTTTATTGACTTACTGGCATGATCATAACTGAAATGCTTACACAGTTTAGACCACATAAATACAAGGAATTTAAGAGATTAAAATTGTACTGCTCATGTAAAGATATTAGTCACTCATACAACATTTCTTTCTTTAGAGGGGGCACCGGTGGCACAGTTGTCTAAGGTGCCACGATTTCGCTGTGCAGAGTTGCATCCCTTGGGCACGCCAGAAACCTATGATTGTGAGTTTGAATCCTGGTTCGCCCTGATTATGTTTCCAGGTTTGTCAGCGCCATACCCATGCTCGTGGGTTTCACCGGAGTGGTAAACATCTGAGACCTGCATCACTTCGGGCTTTCCTCCCACATTAAGCTGACACGCCGTGATAAAACTGGAATACTGTTAAAAACGGCATTAAACCCAACTCACTCACTCTCTAAAGACATTAGGTCATGTCAACTTAAACTTCTTAGTAGTGTAAGAGAAGATCCGGGTCTTCAGCAACCCATACTTGTCGTAAGAGGAAAACAAGGGTGGTCAGACTCGCTGATTTGGTTGATGCATGTCATCGATCCCAATTTGATTAATATCGGTGCTCATGATATCAATCACTGGATTGTCTGGTCCAGGCTTGATTATTTACAGACCGACGTCATATAGCTGGAATATTGCTGATTGTGGCATAAAACTACAAACAAACAAACAATAGTAGCGTAAGATAGCTGCACATTTCATGCTCCAGTCATAATGCTAGCGGCCAGTCCCATGCACCTGGTCCTTCAGCTATGTGGTCAAGGTGAGTAGGATCCCGGGTTTACCTATACATGTAGCAGCCCTGTCAGACCATATTCCATTTGTGGTACACTGCCGCGTAGCGCTGCCAAACAGTCGCCAGCCCTCATGACAGCGTACACGGACAACAGACCGGTAGGTGGTGGTGGTGTTGATGTAGGTGACGTCTCCATGGCTGACCTGGTTTCCGTGGTAATCCAACGTCCGACAATCAACAACTGGAACATCACTCAAGGTGAAGTGAAATGGGGTTTAACCTCAAGTTCAAGATTATTGCACTCACATATCAATGTGCATGCATGTGTGTGTTGGCTTGTACTGGTACGGACTAATCCCGATGTTATAGTGCCAGCCAACTCAGGTACCATGTCACAGTTTAACATGAATAACCCACTCAGACAAAGTATACTGACACCCAGAGGTGACTAGTCCTTATTTTAGCCCCTTAATGCCGAGCCCCAGGCAGGATAAAAACAAGTACCAACTTTTAACATCTTTTGGTATGACGAGGCCAGGGATTGAAACCCTGACCTTCTGCTCTCCAGGGTGCTGTTGTACAAAACAACTTTAGCGCTACGATTGTCATAGTCATAAGTCTATGTTAAGGTATTGGAGTTACAATCACCTTAGCATAAAGATCAATTTGTACAATGGCACTCTGGCAGACACTCTACCACCCGACCACGGAGCTGGTGGAACATCACAATCAGGTCATTCAACTGTCAACCACTGTCCACCACACAAATGCAATCAGGCTGTTCAATGACAACTTGAGCAGATTTTACACAGATATTACACATTAATGCTAAATATAATGTGCGTGTTCAGGAGCATACATTCAATTCCTTCCCTAATAAAGCAGGAATTGGCCAATCTCCACGTACAACAACAATGAAAATCAAAGCTACAACTGACTGACAAATGTCTTAAACCAGTAACGCTCCTATTACAGATGGCAACATGCAGTATGTTGCATGAGCACTCACCTGCATTGCCATGGCAACATACAGTATATCACATCAACAGAACACTCACCTTGGCACTGGGGCACCTGTCCAGACCAAGTACCATTCATGTTACAAATGAGACCTGGGTGGCCTCCGAGTCGATATCCCACGTCACACTTGTAGTGACAGGAAGTCTCTGGAGTGTTATAACACGGAGACCCGGTGTCAATGACCTCATCTCGGATTCGACCAATCACATTGAACTTGTGGGCGTGATCTACATCGGGTAGTTCTGGACATGACCTCACTGAAAGAGCGCCCATAACATTATTATGACTGCATCTGGGTAAGATTAAAAACTGTAAAAGAATTTTTCATTCTGTTTGGTCATGTACATACCAATGACCGTCAAGGTCAAGGATATCAGTGGGTGATGGTGTGAGCATGTATCAATGTAATCAATGCCACACACATGAGCAGTCTGTCACAAGGCAGTTTTACACATGTGCTATGTTCAGTAGGTCTTAGCAATCATTCTGTCCCTTTATACTTCAGGAAACTGGTGCAAAATTCTTCGAAGTTCACTGAAGATCTTGCCAAATTCCACAACTAAATTTTTATAAAGTTTCTTTCAGTGGACTACGTCATACCTTGGTTAACATATAAACAGCATGGGGCAACTGATTACTTTAATGTCCCACAGATACACACAGCTAACTGTGAGTGAGTACTTCAGTTCATTCAGGTGTCAGAAAGTCAGGAGTAAGTCAAACGTAATGCAGATGGAAAGCATTTACCACTTTGCTGAAACCACAAGTTACTGGAAGGCTAATGATCTTAAATCTGTCATTTCAACCTGTGAACAACAGATGCTGCACCTCTCAAAGTTGCCCTCGATACAGTTGCATCTCTTAATGTTGCCCTCGATACTGTTGCATCTCTTAATGTTGCCCCTCATACTGTTGCATCTCTTAATGTTGCCCTCGATACAGTTGCATGTCTTAATGTTGCACCTCTTGATGTTGCCCCTCATACTGTTGCATCTCTTAATGTTGCCCTCGATACAGTTGCATCTCTTAATGTTGCACCTCTTGATGTTGCCCCTGATACTGTTGCATCTCTTAATGTTGCCATCGATACTGTTGCATCTCTTAATGTTGCATCTCTTAATGTTGCACCTCTTAATGTTGCCCCTGATACTGTTGCATCTCTTAATGTTGCCCCTGATACTGTTGCACCTCTAAAGTTGCCCCTGATACTGTTGCACCTCTTAATGTTGTCCCTGATACTGTTGCACCTCTTAATGTTGCCCCTGATACTGTTGCACCTCTAAAGTGCCCCTGATACTGTTGCACCTCTAAAGTTGCCCCTGATACTGTTGCACCTCTTAATGTTGTCCCTGATACTGTTGCACCTCTTAATGTTGCCCCTGATACTGTTGCACCTCTAAAGTTGCCCCTGATACTGTTGCACCTCTTAATGTTGCCCCTGATACTGTTGCACCTCTTAATGTTGTCCCTGATACTGTTGCACCTCTTAATGTTGTCCCTGATACTGTTGCACCTCTTAATGTTGCCCCTGATACTGTTGCACCTCTAAAGTTGCCCCTCATACTGTTGCACCTCTTAATGTTGTCCCTGATACTGTTGCACCTCTTAATGTTGCCCCTGATACTGTTGCACCTCTTAATGTTGCCCCTGATACTGTTGCACCTCTTAATGTTGTCCCTGATACTGTTGCACCTCTTAATGTTGTCCCTGATACTGTTGCACCTCTTAATGTTGCCCCTGATACTGTTTCAGCTCTTAATGTTGCACCTGATACTGTTTCAGCTCTTAATGTTGCACCTGATACTGTTTCAGCTCTTAATGTTGCCCCTGATACTGTTGCATTTTTTAATGTTGCTACTCACATTCACATGTCTTCCTGACAGAATCCTGATGGTATGGAGGCCGACACACACAGTGGTCCCGGTTGATCGCCCCAGGGAGCAGGGTGGTGGAGTTGGAGGGACAGGGGACACACAGGTGGGGGCTCAGACTGTCCTTGTACGTCCCCCTCGGACACTCTAGTCACAGGAGACAAACATACATACACCATACACAGGGCTGCTGGGATGGTATTCATGTATTGGTGTACTCTCATGATGTATTAAATATCAATCTATAGCTGATATGAAGTGAAGCAGTTGCATAAAAATCAAGTAAATTCATTCCCTTGTCATGGTGTATGTTGAAAGTAAATCTCCATTTGCCCACAATACCATAGTTTTAGCCATATTCAGTACACATACTGAAAAAAATTAAATACACTACTCTGGTAATGAGTGATTTGTCTATTTCACCATCATATTTGCCTTGTTGGTACTTAGGGAACTGTCTCAAAAGGTCACAGTAACTTGCAGACTCTCACATGGATACATGGAGTGAAGTCTCTCACATGGATACATGGAGTGAAGTCTCTCACCTAGATACATGGAGTGAAGACTCTCACCTAGATACATGGAGTGAAGTCTCTCACCTAGATACATGGAGTGAAGACTCTCACATGGATACATGGAGTGAAGTCTCTCACATGGATACATGGAGTGAAGTCTCTCACCTAGATACATGGAGTGAAGTCTCTCACCTAGATACATGGAGTGAAGACTCTCACATGGATACATGGAGTGAAGACTCTCACCTAGATACATGGAGTGAAGTCTCTCACCTAGATACATGGAGTGAAGTCTCTCACCTAGATACATGGAGTGAAGTCTTTCACACGGATACATGGAGTGAAGACTCTCACCTAGATACATGGAGTGAAGTCTCTCACCTAGATACATGGAGTGAAGTCTCTCACCTAGATACATGGAGTGAAGTCTCTCACACGGATACATGGAGTGAAGTCTCTCACATGGATACATGGAGTGAAGACTCTCACCTGGATACATGGAGTGAAGACTCTCACCTGGATACATGGAGTGAAGTCTCTCACATGGATACATGGAGTGAAGTCTCTCACATGGATACATGGAGTGAAGTCTCTCACCTAGATACATGGAGTAAAGTCTCTCAACTAGATACATGGAGTGAAGTCTCTCACCTAGATACATGGAGTGAAGTCTCTCACCTAGATACATGGAGTGAAGTCTCTCACACGGATACATGGAGTGAAGTCTCTCACCTAGATACATGGAGTGAAGTCTCTCACACGGATACATGGAGTGAAGTCTCTCACACGGATACATGGAGTGAAGTCTCTCACCTAGATACATGGAGTGAAGTCTCTCACCTAGATACATGGAGTGAAGTCTCTCACATGGATACATGGAGTGAAGTCTCTCACCTAGATACATGGAGTGAAGTCTCTCACCTAGATACATGGAGTGGAGTCTCTCACCTAGATACATGGAGTGAAGTCTCTCACACGGATACATGGAGTGAAGTCTCTCACCTAGATACATGGAGTGAAGTCTCTCACACGGATACATGGAGTGAAGTCTCTCACCTAGATACATGGAGTGAAGACTCTCACATGGATACATGGAGTGAGGACTCTCACCTAGATACATGGAGTGAAGTCTCTCACCTGGATACATGGAGTGAAGTCTCTCACCTAGATACATGGAGTGAAGTCTCTCACCTAGATACATGGAGTGAAGTCTCTCACATGGATACATGGAGTGAAGTCTCTCACCTAGATACATGGAGTGAAGTCTCTCACCTAGATACATGGAGTGAAGTCTCTCACCTAGATACATGGAGTGAAGTCTCTCACACGGATACATGGAGTGAAGTCTCTCACCTAGATACATGGAGTGAAGACTCACCTAGATACATGGAGTGAAGTCTCTCACCTAGATACATGGAGTGAAGTCTCTCACATGGATACATGGAGTGAAGTCTCTCACATGGATACATGTAGTGAAGTCTCTCACCTAGATACATGGAGTGAAGTCGCTCACCTAGATACATGGAGTGAAGTCTCTCACATGGATACATGGAGTGAAGTCTCTCACCTAGATACATGGAGTGAAGTCTCTCACATGGATACATGGAGTGAAGTCTCTCACCGAGATACATGGAGTGAAGTCGCTCACCTAGATACATGGAGTGAAGTCTCTCACATGGATACATGGAGTGAAGTCTCAGGCATATTTATGGAAAATCATCAGATTTAAAAGGGGCTTATAATTAATATAAAGCATGATTTTTGCAATATGACATATCACTGCACCTAAACTTCAGAAATCAGAATACATGTACCTGCACAGGTAAATCCATTTCCATAGTAACCAGGTTTACACACACAGAGGTACTGTCCTGAGCGTGTGGTGCAGGTGCACACAGCATTGGCGGAACACTGGTTCTCACACAGCATCATGTTGCTGACGACGTCCCAAGTCTCCCGCTGCTCACCTACACAACACAAGTAGTGCACAGTATAACAACACTTGTCTTACAACGACAAGACACTTTATTACCCATAGGGTTAGAAATAACCCAATTCATAAAGATTTTTTTATGTCCACAAGTCCAAATAACACTTCTCGCACACCAGCATATTGTTTCCGTCATCCGAATGGCATTGTTGATGTCATTCAAATTTATTGTAACATAAGGTCGAATGACGTCACAACTATTAATGACGTCATAGCTGAATATAGTTGACGTCATTCAACAAATTGTGCTTTTCCAGGAGAGGGGCAGTGATCACTACATTTTTCGAAAGGGGAGCTCAAAAGGATTAAGAAAGAATGGGTAATAAAGAAATTATTACACTCACATGTGTGTCATTCTGATTATATGAAACGTGTGTAAGAATTCATATATTACCCTCGCTCTCGCTCAGGAAATTTGGTAAAATCAGTATAACACCCAGGCTTGTATAATAATCTCCACATAATAATTGCATTTATATTTCTAAAGATCTTTTATAGCAAAATAATACTTGTCAATTCCGATATTACATTGTGATCAGTTCTACACTTCCAGTAAGAGCCAGTTCTGATGCAGTAGCCTAAAGTGTCCTAGTGATGCTTCTCAGGGAAAGAGGGAGGTTGCTTCAAGAAATATATACAAATGCATTACGCTGAACATAACAATATAGCAATGACAAAACAGTTTGTCTGTATTACAAGAGTGAGTGAGGTGTGCTTTGCGCCGCTTTTAGCATGTAACTCTATTACATCACAGCCATTATTCTTGCAATTTGGTTAACATCAGACATAAAGAATCCCTAGATTTTCAACAGACGTCCTCTTCACTCTCAGACAACCTAATCAGTTGTTAAGAATACTGCATATTGTGACAAACACCCCCTCGCATGTCCAAAAGGCGATACAGGTCATTTCTTTCCAGTAACAACTACCTTGACCTTCAAGTACATTCAGTCATATGTCAGAAAAATACCCAGGGCTATATATAGTAGGTACATCAGGTATGACGTCTGAAATATCTGTGTGAGAAAAACCGTTGCAACAGCAGCAAAGCTCAAGTTCGAGCAAAAACATTATACAAATAATATATCAAAATAACCAATTTCAAAATTTAGAAAGCAGCATGGACGTACCATTATGAAGTGATCTGGCCAGCTCCTCGAACGTCCTAAAGTCAGGTAGGAAATAGGTGTGGTTGCTTAGAGGGGAGGCCAAGGTCCGTAACTCTGGCATGTAGGCATCCTTCACCCCGAAGGCATATATCTCCAGCTGGGGGCCACGGTCAGTTATATTCCAGCCCGGGTCCCACCTGAGTGACCGCAGTTCAATAGATGCCTGGACCGGTGCTGGACCGATGTTGGACTTCCCATCAGTCAACACAAACACAGCTTTCTTGGCACTGCGTCTTGAGTTTAAAAGGATTGCCTTAGCATTTCTCAATGCCTCATTTGTTGCAGTGTATCCAGACATTATCTTCTGACCCAACCGAAGTTGAATTTTGAGCATCATCGAACATTTGTTTTCACGACCTTCATCAAGGTCATTTATGTCAATGCTGACCCTTGTGCTGAAAGAAATGATTGCGATGCGAGTGTTGTCATGGCTAAGGGTGAAAAATTCCAACAGAGAACGGACAAAATTTAACATGGACTCCCATCCAGATCTAGGAACACTTGACGAACGGTCTAGAATAAACACAAGATCCACTTCTTGAGAGCTGAACCTGTTGTAAAAGTCTTCAACCATCTCTCGACCTTGTGACACAATAGTGCTGTCGCTTGTGACCAGGTGGAATGTCACACACAAACACAAAACGCATCCAAAATGTGCACACTCCCTCAGAATCATTCTGAAATTCTGAAGAAAAACAACATGATTATGAGAATGTTGTGAAGGTGGTATATTAGAGACTGATCTATGGGCGGCCATTTGGTCAAAAAATACAAAGTTGAAATAAGGACAAAAGTACGCAATTAAGATCAAATATTATGAATAAAGAACTAAATGTTACTACTAAAGGTCAAAATACAAAACAAACAGATGAGGGTTAAACATACAAAGTTGAGATAAATGTCAAAATTACGCAATATCAATAGTCAAATGTTACGAAAAGATGTCATAAGAAAAGAAAGAACAATGTGTGCGAAAGAACGTCATTGAGCACGAAAGGACGTTGACTATAAAGAACACCAGATAACTCTGCAATTTGTAAAACATTCCGAGTTTAATCGGCTTGTTCCGCCGTGTATATGATAACTGCATGCCAAGGTGCACAATGTATTACGTCATTCCTCGTGCACTCTCTGTCTGACGTCACATATATATACATGTGTAATCCAACATCTGCCTAACATTAGTACATGTATTTTGTATACAATCTTCAAACGCACATTTTCATCAACTTACAAGTTGTCTTTGTCACAATGTAAATGTGGATGTAAACAAGCGAAATAAATATGGTTTGAAAACGAATGCTGGCATCATAGATGAAAATCGATTTTCTTTATTTATGGGTAGCTCTTTTTCCTAACGAATGTCTAAGTTATACATATGCATACAAATCCATTTGATATATATATTTGTTGTTCAGATATTAGGCAGCATTTTGTTCGCAACACAGTTTCCGAAAAGCTGTTAAATAAAACAAATTCTCGCACAACGATCACTTTTCAGATGAAAATGTGAGTCTGAAACAAAACTCGGCATCATAGCATCCTAGTGTTGCACCAAGCATGAACAGTTATTGGATCATCGTAGATGAATCCTAGATTAGCATTAAGTGAGTGTTTTTTTAAGGTTGTATACAAAATACATGTACTAATGTTAGGCAGATGTTGGATTACACAGTATACTGGATTTATGAAAAGGCCCTTTAGCGGTGACAAAGCTTAAATGCAACATGTTTATACACAATGTGCTCATTATACATTATAAATACATGTATATATATATGACGTCAGACGGTGAGTGCACGATGAATGAAGTAATACATTGTGCACCTCGGCATGCAGTTATCATATACATGGCGGAACAAGCCGATTAAACTCGGAATGTTTTACAAATTGCAGCGCCATCTGGCGTTCTTTATTGTCAACGTCCTTTGTGCTCACTGACGTTCTTTATTGAAAACTTCCTTTCGTGCTCAATGACGTTCTTTCATACACATTGTTCTTTTTTTTCTTATGACGTCTTTTCGTAATATTAGACTATTAATATTACATACTTTTGACATTTATTTCAACTTTGTATGTTTAACCCTCGTCTGTTTGTTTTGTATTTTGACCTTTAGTAGTAACATTTAGTTCTTTATTCATAATATTTGACCTTAATTGTGAACTTTTGTCCTTTTTTTCAACTTTGTATTTTTTGACCGAATGGCCGCCCATACTGATCAACAACACAAAGACAAAAGTAACTGTGATCACATTTTTTTTGATAACTGAAAAATATTCATTCTAAGGATCATGTCTAAGATGTTGTGAAACCAATGAGCATAGGTGCAGTGCTGAAAAATCTAACAATTTTGGGATTCAAATCCATGATAACCAGATCCTGGTACTCCCAAGGGATACCACACTGCACCACTCTTAGGAATGCGACTCATTTTGGAAAAAATATGATTTCAGTGAAACAAACACAGTAGGTCTGATCCATATGTTGGCATATATTTTGAAAAAACAGCATCCACTGCCTGAAGCTTATGAGTACAATAACTCTAATTGTTAATTTATAATCTAAAACTAAACTTATACCATTGAATTCCATATTGATACAAGGTTAAATGTAGCAGCCATGCATTCAATATGGTTTACATTGACGTGAGAGTTACACCAGGGTCACAAGTCAAAGTTAGGCCTCAGTATAACTATTCTGAATATATGAATACATTGCAGCTAGTGGACATCAAACTTCCCAATGATATGTGCAGCAATGGCTGAGAAATAGACCAAAACAATATTTTCAATATCGCTACTGTGATTATATTACAAGAAGTATCTTTGCCCATTCCCTAGACACAACAGGTCAGAGCCTATGAACACAATTCCACCTTCTCAAAACCATTGTTTCAAAGATGTAGCAAATGCTGCATATACTAGATTTATAGATTTGTGAATGTAAAAACTCATGGATGACAAAAAGGAAAATACCCTAAAGAAATTACATAATGTTATTGCAAATAGCATCTTGTGACGGCATATCCTAATAAAACAAGACTATGAAGCAAGGTGTGGTGGAGTAGAGACCCCTCCCATAGGACAATAGGAGGAGGAGGAGGATTGTGGGCGCTGCAACAATGAGGACCGCCAGTGTTTACATGGCTGACATTCCAGCCCTGATAACTAGGTGTCACTTTCCTATTCTGGAATTTGTTATATGGTCATCCTTTATCTCAACTGAAGGAGCTGAATACTGCTTACTATTAATACTAATACAAATTATACAGACTGTGTGAATGGACATTTACTTTGTTTCATTGTGTTCGCTATAGATACTAAGCAAAAAAAAGTTAGGGATCATAAATATATTTTAGATATTTTTTATCGAGAAGACTGAGACCACAATTTCATAAAAACATCACAAACAATATTCATGATCCTTTAACTTGTTTTGTTCAGTATACATGCTTGGTTTCCATGACATTTAAAGACATTTCAGGTGAGTAGACTTTGACATGTTTGTTAAAATAGTACACACTGGTATATATATGGTAATGAGTGAGTAGGATTTTGAAGCGCTATCTTGCAAAATTTTCCAGCCATATCACAGCAGGAAAACGCAAGAAATTGGTTTCACACATAATCCCCATGTATATGGAATGAAACCCACTACTTGAGAGTATCTACCCTATGCTTTCTCCACTAGGATAACCAACTGCCAAGTCTTGTGGGAACCATCCAGGTATTGCATGTTAAGTATCAGCTTGAGTTATTGGATGGTTTTGTCTTTCAAGTTTTTCTGGGTTTTTTTTGTAGGACAGCGACCGCCCATGGTAAATAACACACCTCACACTTATCTCACTCCACCCTCAGACAGGGCTCCAACCTGTCCACCATGTTATTGTTGGGAGTAACTGACAAGGGAGTCAGTGAGTGACATTTTTAACAGTTTTAGGTATAATATTTCAGCTTAAACAGGCACGTGGTATTCAGATAAAAGTGTTAATGAAAGCAAGGATTATATCCTACCTAAATATTATCCTGGGGGAAGTTTTACTCTAGAGTATAGTATCTATAGGATAAAACACACTAGAGCATAGTATCTATAGGATTAAACACATTAGAGTATAGTATCTATAGGATTAAACACACTAGAGTATAGTATCTATAGGATTAAACACACTGGTATGGGTTCAAATTCACAAAGGAGAATCATCCTGACACTAGAGAATTTCATCCCCGGGATAAAAAATAGGGCAGGATAATATTCACTCTTACATTAACACAGATACTGGATTCAGGGAGGGAGACTGTCAGCTGCTGAAGTCATGTGCACCTGACAATCTCAACTATCAGACAAAGTCAGTTTAAATGACTCAATAGTCACTGGTCCATCAATGTGACATACAGATTACCAGGGGATCAAATCATCTACTGTTGTCTGTAAAGTGTCCTGGCTAGGTTGTATGTCAGCTAGTTATATCTCTATAAAATATTGGGTGTAATTGACACAGCATGGCCACATGTCACAGCCACTGACATCTTTTGTGAGATGATATCACCCTTTGTCCAGAAAAGTTGAGGAGGGAATAAATTAATTTATAATTTCTCTTAAAGAAAGAACATGGTAAGTTAATTCATTATTAAAACTCCTGGTGTTCATTCTCAGTATAGGTGTAGACACTGTCAATAGTACCATATGTGAAGCATGACACTGTCACTGTGAGATACACAACGTCCTGCAGGGCTTGTCACATGCTATCAACCACTGGTTTTCCTGACCAAGATGTTAAACACCCCTTGTGACACACCTGGACTATTGTGTACTGTGGTGGAAAACAACACAGACCCTCCCACCAGCCAGATCACTTTGATCTCAAGAAAACCATCTGTTGACTGTCCCTGTTGTGATGGAGAAACATCCTTCTCATCTGCAGCATCACTAGCATGGAACCAGCTACTATTCAAACTAGCCCTGTCCTGTCTTTTCTACGTTCACAGCACTTCTCAAGATACCCTTCCACCAAGCTCATCTCTACAAACTTTCCAGTGTGCACTCCGAGCTTGTCCTGGTGTATGGAGATTAGCACATAATATATGGACTATTATCATAAATTCAATGACACTATTCTGCTGTTTACATTCAGTTTACAAAATATAATTCTTTAAACTACTTTTTGAATGTGTCATATGCAATACAAGCAATTTTAAAAAGAATGTACATCTGTAAATTAGTCTATGTTGGCTTTATAGGTTAATTGCAGTCAAAATTAAATATGGCCGAATGTCAAACAATCAATAAGTCGGTGTGTAGATGCAATGGGCAAGTAAAAACCCTGTACTTGCACCAGGAGTGGGTTACGTTTCAGCAATATGATCCCCAACTCCCTGTGTTATCACAGACAGACTGCCAGTGACGTGACGACCAGCTGACACACATTACATCAGTGTTGACATGTGGTGTTTGTAAACATTCAACAATATCTAAACCTATCAACATGTAATTTACATGCTTCATCTAAGTTAATCAGTGTGTTTGGTATTTGAGAGAGTTTAAACAATGAAACGTGTATGTCTGTGTGAGTCCAAGCTGTGTTGAGGTATGTAGATCACGTTTCTATAATGAGCGCCTCAGATGTCATGAGGTGACATATATTGATGGTGTTTTCTATCACAAGATACTGGGAAATGTGAAAACTTTCAAATGTGTTTCAATTGTATATCACTGTTAGTGACTTTAATTGACTCTGTTATTACACATGTGTGTAAATGTTTTGATTGTGATTGTAACCATAATTTGTATCAACCAATTAATGTCAATTAAATGTATGTTATCCGATAAATTTATTAAAACATTTAATGAATAAACCTGCCCCAACTTTAAAAAAAAAAAAAAATACACATTTCTCTTTATTGAAATCATTTTGAATACTTTTATAAAATAATAGTCAGCATTTTTTACCACTGATTTAGTTTTCAGTTCCTATGGAAAATCAGTCAAAATTAGTCATCTTTTTTATTAGATGATCCACAGCTATCCTATACCATCTGCACTATGAAATATTATTACACAAGTTTACTACAAGTTAACACGTTAAGAGATTGATGTGTGATGGAAATATTAACAATTAGTTGTTGCCCATGAAATATAATAGCCCCTAAGCCTTCGCACCCTAGATGGTAGTGATATATTGACAAATAATGACATCAAAGACATGTCAGTGAACACAGAAAGTGACTTCAGAATGACATTTGCTACAACAGATCAACTTCTGTCTCTCCTTCACATAATAGACATAAATCAAATGTGAAGTGAATTGTGTCCAGGTCTTCAATCCACAATCAATGTTGCATCCAATGAAAACATATCAAAACTGTATAAAAGTTACCAAACACAATGACAAGAATAACAGATATATTTCTACAAGTGAAAAGTAAGCATCAGGTGTCATCAAGGTGGCGAGGTAATGGGAGTACACCAGTTTGTGCCTGTATTATCTGTGAATGTTATTCACCAGCAATGCTAAACTATTTGCCCAATTCTGGAGTACTTCTCCCATTGCAACAATATAGCTAAAGGATTGGAATGCAAAATGTGACATATCACCAGAGACTATGTAAAACTATTGGTTATTAAAAGAACAAAACAGTGTACTGCCTATTGATGAGTATAGATCCCCAAGAAAGTGAGAGCATGCAGACAGCTGTACCTGACTTAGACAGGGGACCAGTCACACAGCCAATCAGGGCATCACAATACCTTTCTTGACAATTGTGGTAACCATGGTATTTGCCTGGCTGACATAAATATTTTTGTCATTAAATTTCGCTTCGTTTTTAGGGGTGGACACTCTTCATGCTGCTTATTTTGTATCAGTATTCCAGGAACGAGACGATTTAGATGTCATGGAAGCCTACAATGCAATCAAATGTACAAACAGACCTCTTGCATTGCAAAGAGAAATCAATTCATAATTTGATCTTTATAAAAAAAACCTACTTGGTATTGTCGTCCCCATGTGAGATATTGCTAGAATTCCCCACCCCAAAACACTGTAATACTTGGGTGGTGACATTGGGTACACATTCTCCACTAGCAGCAGTCACCAGTCCCAAAGGTCAGAGAGTCATAGGTTTAAACTGAGCAAATAGATTATCATTAGATTTAATTGAAAATAAACATTTGGATATAATAAACATATTATTTCAAATAAATTCATGATGAGGACTTAGAATTGTTCACATAAACTAAAACTACTGCTGTAATATATTGAGCAGAGTGACCGTGGTACTTACTTGTAGTGAGGGCTCCAGTACTGGCAGTGGTGGGACCTCCACACAATCAGCACACAGATAATGACGACATGCTGGCCAGGGGGAAACCTGATCCCACTCACAACACAATAGGCAGGTCTTGAAGGTGGCACCAGGTCTATAACTCTTGTCATGTTGGGAGAGAGGAGCAGTGATAAACTGCCTGAAATAGAGGATGCAGCATTTATGTGAGGAATCTTGCTGTACAAAGGTCATTATCATTACAATGAATTAATTAAGTGATGCTTCATTTCTACAACATGCTAATGTAACATCTAATACTATGTTAGAATCCACAACTAAAGATTTAATTTGATTGTCAATACATTGGAATTTTTGGATATGATTTTAATAATATTGTTGAAAAGTCCTTCCACAAGAGCCTTGGATATAGAGAATATTTCTTGAACATGACTTCAACAAGGGCATGTAATATAAAGAATATGTGACTGAGGGAGTGAATTTGGTTTAACACCACTTTGAACCATATGGCAGTTACATCCCGCTGAAGGTCATCCTGATGTGGAGGAAAGCCAGAAGTGATGCAAGTCTCAGACATTTATCACTTTGGTCAATCCCTCGGTCATGGGTATGATGCGGAAAAATGTGAAAACACAACCAGGGCGAACCAGGATTTGAACCACTATCACATGTTTATTAAGCGAAATAAATTGTGTTTTGACATGTTTACAATTATATGTTTGTTTCTTTGTTTGTTTCTTTGTTGTTTAATGCCACACTCAGCAATATTCCAGCTATATGACAGCGGTCTGTAAATAATCAAGTCTGAAACAGACAATCCCATGAGCATTGATCAACCAAGTCAGCTAGCCTGACCACCCAATCCTGTTAGTCGATCGCCTCTTACTACAAGCATTGTTGCCTTTTACACAAAGCATGGGTCGCTGAAGGCCTATTCTAACCTGGATCTTCATGAGTGTACAATTATATAAACAGTATTACCTCCAAGCTGACAATGAGAGTAAATTGGTACAAAATTCTGAAACAACTTATTTTCCACACAGTACAATTTTTTTAATTTCAATATTTTTTTATATAAATGTGGAAAATAAGTATAAGTTTAATACGGAAAAGTGATTTGTTTCAAATATAAAAAATACTTTCTTCAAAGAAAATAAGTAAACTATACCATAGAACCATAGAAATATATAGAGAAGTATGTATGTTAAGAAGAGATGTTTCCAGTGTGTATCACTTAATGACAAAACTAACAATCAGTCAAGTGTTACCCCAGAGTGTCTTTATTCTTATCACGATATGCTGCACATGATTTCCAAACTTTACATGCTAATCCTGCACGAGACAAATCTCCAGTCATGGATCTATGACGTCACATGTGATGTGTTTATGAGCGTCCATTCACACAACGTAACAGTATGTTCGTTTGTTCATCTACCAATCTAATATTTCCTGAATTTGAGTAATTCTTCATATATTAACCAACATGTATGGTATGCGTGTTTGTTTTGGCAGTGAGTATAATATTGGAATAATGTAGTTATACTCATACATGTGCGTCTGATTTGTTATATTTTGTCCTAATCATAAACAATGTGGAAGAAACCCATCTAGTATAAGTCTTGTCTGATAATCACACTTATGAAGAAGAAAAATCACAAATTGTTTCCCAAGGAAAACATTTTCTATATTTTGTACACTTTCGGAGACATAGCTATTGCCGATGACATTTGTGTTCAAAGGAATCAACAGGCAAATGAAGCAATCAGTTTCAGCATCTTGAACGACCAGTACCAGTACTGTTGTGAAACATACTAAATGTTTCTTAAAGTAACATTGCTGATAGGTATGCGCCAATATATACCCACTTGTGCTTATTTTTAGCAACAATTTCCATGAATTTGAGGGAATGGCACAATGGTGCAGTGTGGTTGAAGTACTCAGGGCAATGCTAATCCAATCTGGGTAAACAGATTGACATGTGCCATGAGATTTAGTTACTTTTGTGTAGTTTCTGTGTGTGGTGGACTGTAGCCTACAATGTCTTGTTGTCAGTTTCAAAATGTTGCAAATATTGACATGACCATTTGAAAACAATGCATGGGATTGGATTAGAGGTAGTTGTTTCTGTAAATTGATACAGGTTACCACATGTTTATTTTCTCAGTTGTTTCTGTCAGCTGCAATGGCTCATTCCATCTTCTACCTGCCCTATGGTGTTGTTGAAAGTAGAGTAACAAATGGGGTATCCTCCCACAATCACTATCCCCTAAAACAACAAAGTTTATTGTCCAGTGGGCAGGTAATCTGCTGCCTGTTCCCTTTATCCCCAAGTGGAATGATATTTGAATAAGTCCAAATATGTTTATATTAACATATAACAAAGCATACATATACATGTCATATCATTATTTAATCCTTTTTGCACTTTTTTAACATTTTTATATGATCTTTAAATTTTAAAAAGTAAACTGAGTTTTAGTAACTGTCCAACAGCATCAAGGGATTGAGCTGGTGTATATTCTTGGCACCTGATGTAGGATTGTGTTGTGGTTCTGGAGTGGCATGCTGTTGCTTTGAGTGTGGCCTTCAACCTGCTGATATCTTAAATTTAACTGATTTCAAATATGTACTTTGTTCTCGGCAAAAAACAGAACGATGGTTAATTTCAAATCGTTTACAAACTCGATAAATAGGAGATATTTTTCACAAAGATTTACCGGTATACATCTTTGTAATTAATGCTAGAAAATTAAGTTAGATATAACAAAAGGATTTCAATAGTATAACGGGATCACGATTCATGTCACGTTTACCGCTGTTGCCATGATTGTGTCTGTTTCATCCAATCAATGATGTAACGATCCAGATTGTTTTCGTTATAAATAATACACAAAAATTCTTGTTTTAAAAGTAGCAAGAGAAATGTTGCGTATTTATACCATAGTTACTTAATATCTTTTAATATTGTTTTGCTTACTTCTAATTAGATAACTCACGTTGTCTGAACTCTTATATCAATGTTTATATATGTTTGAATACTTTTGAATACTCAACTTCTAATATGAGGGCATCTTTCTCAGCTTAATATCTCGGCTCATTCCTCTCCATCTAATCCCTACTCCTGGTCTATTCCACTATGTCAGTGGGTACTTTGCCTTTGTTGTTTGTACTAACTGTAGTGACTATGGCGTGTAATGACTATGGCGTGTAGTGACTATGGCATGTAGTGACTATGGCATGTAGTGACTATGGCGTGTAGTGACTATAGCATGTAGTGACTATGGCATGTAGTGACTATGGCATGTAGTGACTATGGCGTGTAGTGACTATGGCATGAAGTGACTCTTGCGTGTAGTGACTATGGCGTGTAGTGACTATGGCGTGTAGTGACTATGGCGTGTAGTGACTATGGCTTGTAGTTGTTTTGGGAGACTACCGCGGAGAAAAGTAATACATGCTTAATGACCTATGATTGATTATTCAAATACTCATTGCATCACTGGTACTCCCAACAGTGTGTGGCGTTGTTCCCATGAAAGTGCCAGATGATAAGCCCAAAATTACTAGAATTTGAGCTTCACTAAGGAAGTGTTATCCCAAATGTAACATTTGTTACATCTGACCACTTTCTGAATGGCATTGTGTATTCATTCCTGTCACAGTTCACAAAAATGCCAAAAGTTCAAAGAGAGATCGTACTGACCCTATATTTTACAAAAGAAGTGAAATGAAATAAATGAGTACCGAACCTCATTTTAGTTACACTTTCAAAATTTTCTGTTCATGTTGGCTAAAAACAAAACACTTTCAGCTCAGTTTATCAAGTTGGACAATGGAAAGCCCCAAATGAGTGAATGAGTGAGTTAACACCGCCTTGAACAGTATGCCAGTTATATCACGGTGCGGAAACCCCCATGAGTACTATACCGCTGGAAGACAATGGTGCACCAGAATAATCTCCAGCCCCACCTCAACAAGGCCGCCTATAAAACACTGACAATTACTGGCTGCAAAGTAAACATTGTTATTCTGGCTGTTGAATTCCATTCCTGATTAAAACACATTGCTTAAAAACAAATATATCTATCATTGCATTGTTCCTGAAAACATCATTGCATTGTTCATGAAAACAGAAGATAACAATATATTACATTTCGTATTCATGCACGGTCGCCTCAACCTGAGTTTAAGTATCAAGGGATGATTTCAGGTTTATTTCCCAGAAAGTCCATAGAAATAAAAGACAATTCACATTTGTTTTATTCCAGCTTTGAGGCAGTGCTTTATCATCTAAGATGCCACAATATGCCAGCAGAGTTACATCCCTTAGGCATGCCGGCAGAGTTACATCCATTAGGCATGCCAGCAGAGCTTCATCCCTTAGGCATGCCAGCAGAGCTACATCCCTTAGGCATGCCAGCAGAGCTACATCCCTCAGGCATGCCGGCAGAGTTACATCCATTAGGCATGCCAGCAGAGTTACATCCCTCAGGCATGCTGGCAGAGCTACATCCCTTAGGCATGCCAGCAGAGCTACATCCCTTAGGCATGCCAGCAGAGTCACATCCCTTAGGCAAGCCAGCAGAGTTACATCCCTCAGGCATGCCAGCAGAGTTACATCCCTTAGGCATGCCAGCAGAGTTACATCCATTAGGGATGCCAGCAGAGTTACATCCCACAGGCATGCCAGCAGAGTCACATCCCACAGGCATGCCAGCAGAGTTACATCCCTTAGGCATGCCAGCAGAGTTACATCACTTAGGCATGTCACCAGAGCTACATCCCTTAGGCATGCCAGCAGAGTCACATCCCTTAGGCATGCCAGCAGAGTTACATCCATTAGGCATGCCAGCAGAGTCACATCCCTTAGGCATGCCAGCAGAGTCACATCCCTTAGGCAAGCCAGAAGAGTAACATCCCTCAGGCATGCCAGCAGAGTTACATCCCTCAGGCATGCCAGCATTGTTACATCCTTTAGGCATGCCAGCAGAGCTACATCCCTTAGGCATGCCAGCAGAGCTACATCCCTCAGGCATGCCAGCAGAGTTACATCCATTAGGCATGCCAGCAGAGTTACATCCCTTAGGCATGCCAGCAGAGTCACATCCCTTAGGCATGCCGGCAGAGTTACATCCCTCAGGCATGCCAGCAGAGTCACATCCCTTAGGCATGCCAGCAGAGTCACATCCCTTAGGCATGCCAGCAGAGTCACATCCCTTAGGCAAGCCAGAAGAGTAACATCCCTCAGGCATGCCAGCAGAGCTACATCCATTAGGCATGCCAGCAGAGCTACATCCCTTAGGCATGCCAGCAGAGTCACATCCCTTAGGCAAGCCAGAAGAGTAACATCCCTCAGGCATGCCAGCAGAGTTACATCCCTCAGGCATGCCAGCATTGTTACATCCCTTAGGCATGCCAGCAGAGCTACATCCCTTAGGCATGCCAGCAGAGCTACATCCCTCAGGCATGCCAGCAGAGTTACATCCATTAGGCATGCCAGCAGAGTTACATCCCTTAGGCATGCCAGCAGAGTCACATCCCACAGGCATGCCGGCAGAGTTACATTCCTCAGGCATGCCAGCAGAGTCACATCCCTTAGGCATGCCAGCAGAGTCACATCCATTAGGCATGCCAGCAGAGTCACATCCCTCAGGCAAGCCAGAAGAGTAACATCCCTCAGGCATGCCAGCAGAGTTACATCCCTCAGGAATGCCAGCAGAGTTACATCCCTTAGGCATGCCGGCAGAGTTACATCCATTAGGCATGCCAGCAGAGTTACATCCCTCAGGCATGCCAGCAGAGTTACATCCCTTAGGCATGCCAGCAGAGCTACATCCCTTAGGCATGCCAGCAGAGCTACATCCCTCAGGCATGCCGGCAGAGTTACATCCATTAGGCATGCCAGCAGAGCTACATCCCTTAGGCATTCCAGCAGAGCTACATCCCTCAGGCATGCCAGCAGAGCTACATCCATTAGGCATGCCAGCAGAGCTACATCCCTTAGGCATGCCAGCAGAGCTACATCCCTTAGGCATGCCAGCAGAGCTACATCCCTCAGGCATGCCGGCAGAGTTACATCCATTAGGCATGCCAGCAGAGTTACATCCCTCAGGCATGCCAGCAGAGCTACATCCCTTAGGCATGCCAGCAGAGCTACATCCCTTAGGCAAGCCAGCAGAGTTACATCCCTCAGGCATGCCAGCAGAGTTACATCCATTAGGCATGCCAGCAGAGTTACATCGCTTAGGCATGCCGGCAGAGTTACATCCATTAGGCATGCCAGCAGAGTTACATCCCTCAGGCATGCCAGCATTGTTACATCCCTTAGGCATGCCAGCAGAGTCACATCCCTCAGGCATGCCAGCAGAGTTACATCCCTTAGGCATGCCAGAAGAGTCACATCCCTCAGGCATGCCAGCAGAGTTACATCCCTCAGGCATGCCAGCAGAGTCACATCCCTCAGGCATGCCAGCAGAGTTACATCCATTAGGCATGCCAGCAGAGTTACATCCCTCAGGCATGCCAGCAGAGTTACATCCATTAGGCATGCCAGCAGAGTCACATCCCTCAGGCATGCCAGCAGAGTTACATCCCTCAGGCATGCCAGCAGAGTTACATCCCTCAGGCATGCCAGCAGAGTTACATCCCTTAGGCATGCCGGCAGAGTTAAATCCATTAGGCATGCCAGCAGAGTTACATCCCTCAGGCATGCCGGCAGAGCTACATCCCTTAGGCATACCAGCAGAGTCACATCCCTTAGGCAAGACAGCAGATTTACATCCCTCAGGCATGCCAGCAGAGTTACATCCCTTAGGCATGCCGGCAGAGTTACATCCATTAGGCATGCCAGCAGAGTTACATCCCTCAGGCATGCCAGCAGAGTCACATCCCTCAGGCATGCCAGCAGAGTTACATCCATTAGGCATGCCAGCAGAGTTACATCCCTTAGGCATGCCAGCATTGTTACATCCCTTAGGCATGCCAGCAGAGTTACATCCCTTAGGCATGCCGGCAGAGTTACATCCATTAGGCATGCCAGCATTGTTACATCCATTAGGCATGCCAGAAGAGCTACATCCCTTAGGCATGCCAGGAGAGTCACATCCCTTAGGCATGCCAGCAGAACTACATCCCTTAGGCATGCCAGCAGAGCTACATCCCACAGGCATGCCAGGGGAGTCACATCCCTTAGGCATGCCAGCAGAGTCACATCCCTTAGGCATGCCAGCATTGTTACATCCCTCAGGCATGCCAGCAGAGTTACATCCATTAGGCATGCCACCAGAGCTACATCCCTTAGGCATGTCAGCATTGTTACATTCCTCAGGCATGCCAGCAGAGTTACATCCCTTAGGCATGCCACAAATCTATGATTGTGGGTTTGAATCCCATATTCACCCTGATTATGTTTCAAGGTTTGTCAGCACAACACATGTTTTCGTATACAAATCTACTAAACACATAACTTGTCCTACGTCACTTTGGCCTTCCTGACCCACCAAGCTGACATGCTGTGATAGTATTGTTAAAGCCATGTTAAACTCGGTCAGTCTTAAAAACCCAATAAATTTTATATGGCAGATTTTGAGCAAACTTTATCAAATTTTAAGTGTTAAATGTATGTACACAGCCAAATAGAAAATATTACTTTTCAGATTGAATGTTTTTCCAGTTTCCAACTTTTGTACAGTGCGGATCTGCAAACTAGAGTTAAAAATATGTCTCCTTATACCCAAAACATCTTCATTGAATCAAAATATTTGTAAAGTAACTCATTTTAGAACACTTGTGCCAGTTATTCAAAGTACATGTTTGTGAAAACCAAACTATTTCACAATGCATGTATACAACATTCAGTCAGACTACTAAATTCACTCACTTCAGCAACCTGCCTCAGACTTTTAGCGATGCTACAATATATACAGAGCACACAAATATTTAGCAATGCCATAATGGTGTTTTGTTTACACACCTGCAACTGTGGTATTATTCCTGGTGACTGTACCTGCAGGCAGACCAAACAGACATAGGTCTGTAACCCACACGGTGCTGCACTCTCTGTCCTGGCTGGGGAGTGTACCTGGGTGGAATTCAAACACAAGTAAAACAAACTGTGCCCAAACTCTGTGATTTCAGCTTGAATTGTTTCTGGAGAAAATCTTGAATACATGTATGTATGAAGACATTGAAGTGTTTGCATGGCATTCAAAGACTGGTCTGAACATTATTTATGTAAAAGGAATAGTTGGTAAGAAACTAAGTCTATACAAAGCTATGAAAACCACTTTATCATGATGATTTCTCGTACATATCGGTTTCAATGTGTCAAACCTAAGAGAAATTCAAAACTAAGTTATATGTTTCAACTAAATTCAAACAGCTGGAGAATTCAGATTTTATGGATGTTTCATCAACTATGATTTGATAAAATGGAAAATGTGCATGGATCATTTGCTTATATCATAAAATTAAATATCTTTATGATTTCTTGGGGTATCATTAAAATGATGATATATTGGGCAAAGCACAATCAAGCATCAGTCCAAGGTTCCCGGTCAGGAGACATTCCTCATGAGGTAGAGCACTCTACCAATACACTTAGAGTGCCAAAAACTTGACAGGATCCATTTTACTAGCGTTTCATCCATTGTCCATGCAAAGCAGTACTAAGTGAGAGAGACTGAGTGATTGAGTGATGGGGGATTGAGCACTGCAATTTTCCTGTACAATCAAACCAGTTGTTGAAAGCACGAGCACCATGACAGATAATCAGCCAGGGACCGATCTGCTCTCCAGCATGGGTTACCAGTTATTCCGCCACAGAACCCCTATGGGTGAGTGAGTAATGTAGGGTACAGACAAGGTCCAATCACATCATGACAGTTTGTAATGGGTTGACGTAGACAGCCTGGTGGCCACTGGGTGGCAACACCTCAGACCCTACCATGCTACCCCTTTAAAGATGTGGACTTGGGGACAGCCTACTTCATGTGCATGGACACTTCTGTCAAACATGGTGGGAGGTGGGAGCAGGGTCTGGCACGTACAGCTCCACTTTTCATAGCAATCACCAAAACATATTAATACTTTAATGACTGATTGGGTAGTCTACGTGTAAACCTAATTTGCAACACTTTAACTCATTTGGTGAGTTAAAGTGTTTTTAACAAAATTAATATGGCTTCCCAAAACATTGAAGTATTACTTGTATGTGACACACTCCTATTTGACAATGCTGGATTCACCCTTGATTTGATCCTACAATTGTTGCTGAAAAGGATTGTTTTCTTTCTAAAGACTATGTTTAGATACTGCTGTATTCCAGGAAGTAGTATTCCATTATGAAAAAAACCAGTTGTGTCAACATAATGACAAGAATAAAATTAGGACAGAATCAAATCAGTGGTAATTCAATAAATTGCTTCAAAGTAAGCATTGAAAGCATTTGTCCCACTTGACAGTGGAGGTGGTGTCATGGCAGTGGTTGGTTGTACTGCCACTTGACAGTGGAGGTGGGGTCATGGCAGTGGTTGGTTGTACTGCCACTTGACAGTGGAGGTGGGGGTCATGGCAGTGGTTGGTTGGGTTGTGCTGCCACTTGACAGTGGAGGTGGGGGTCATGGCAGTGGTTAGTTGGATTGTACTGTCACTTGACAGTGGAGGTAGGGTCATGGCAGTGAGTGGTTGGGCTGTACTGTCACTTGACAGTGGAGGTGGGGGTCATGGCAGTGGTTGGTTGTACTGCCACTTGACAGTGGAGGTGGGGGTCATGGCAGTGGTTGGTTGGGTTGTACTTCCACTTGACAGTGGAGGTAGGGTCATGGCAGTGGTTGGTTGTACTGCCACTTGACAGTGGAGGTGGGGGTCATGGCAGTGGTTGGTTGGGTTGTACTGCCACTTGACAGTGGAGGTGGGGGTCATGGCAGTGGTTGGTTGTACTGCCACTTGACAGTGGAGGTGGGGGTCATGGCAGTGGTTAGTTGGGTTGTACTGCCACTTGACAGTGGAGGTGGGGGTCATGGCAGTGGTTGGTTGTACTGCCACTTGACAGTGGAGGTAGGGTCATGGCAGTGGTTGGTTGGGTTGTACTGCCACTTGACAGTGGAGGTAGGGTCAGGGCAGTGGTTGGTTGTACTGCCACTTGACAGTGGAGGTGGGGGTCATGGCAGTGGTTGGTTGTACTGCCACTTGACAGTGGAGGTGGGTTGATGGCAGTGGTTAGTTGGGTTGTACTGCCACTTGACAGTGGAGGTAGGGTCAGGGCAGTGGTTGGTTGTACTGCCACTTGACAGTGGAGGTAGGGTCAGGGCAGTGGTTGGTTGTACTGCCACTTGACAGTGGAGGTGGGGGTCATGGCAGTGGTTGGTTGTACTGCCACTTGACAGTGGAGGTAGGGTCAGGGCAGTGGTTGGTTGTACTGCCACTTGACAGTGGAGGTGGGGTCATGGCAGTGGTTGGTTGTACTGCCACTTGACAGTGGAGGTAGGGTCAGGGCAGTGGTTGGTTGTACTGCCACTTGACAGTGGAGGTGGGGGTCATGGCAGTGGTTGGTTGTACTGCCACTTGACAGTGGAGGTGGGGGTCATGGCAGAGGTTAATTGGGTTGTACTGCCACTTGACAGTGGAGGTGGGGGTCATGGCAGTGGTTGATTGTACTGCCACTTGACAGTGGAGGTGGGGGTCATGGCAGTGGTTGGTTGTACTGCCACTTGACAGTGGAGGTGGGGGTCATGGCAGTGGTTGGTTGTACTGCCACTTGACAGTGGAGGTGGGGGTCATGGCAGTGGTTAGTTGGGTTGTACTGCCACTTGACAGTGGAGGTGGGGGTCATGGCAGTGGTTGATTGTACTGCCACTTGACAGTGGAGGTGGGGGTCATGGCAGTGGTTAGTTGGGTTGTACTGCCACTTAACAGTGGAGGTGGGGGTCATGGCAGTGGTTGGTTGTACTGCCACTTGACAGTGGAGGTGGGGGTCATGGCAGTGGTTGGTTGTACTGCCACTTGACAGTGGAGGTGGGGTCATGGCAGTGGTTAGTTGGGTTGTACTGCCACTTGACAGTGGAGGTGGGGGTCATGGCAGTGGTTGGTTGTACTGCCACTTGACAGTGGAGGTGGGGGTCATGGCAGTGGTTGGTTGTACTGCCACTTGACAGTGGAGGTGGGGGTCATGGCAGTGGTTGATTGTACTGCTACTTGACAGTGGAGGTGGGGGTCATGGCAGTGGTTGGTTGTACTGCCACTTGACAGTGCAGGGGGTGTCATGGCAGTGGTTGATTGTACTGCCACTTGACGGTGGAGGTGGGGGTCATGGCAGTGGTTGGTTGGGTTGTGCTGCCACTTGACAGTGGAGGTGGGGGTCATGGCAGTAGTTGGTTGTACTGCCACTTGACAGTGGAGGTGGGGGTCATGGCAGTGGTTGGTTGTACTGCCACTTGACAGTGGAGGTGGGGGTCATGGCAGTGGTTGGTTGTACTGCCACTTGACAGTGGAGGTGGGGGTCATGGCAGTGGTTGATTGTACTGCTACTTGACAGTGGAGGTGGGGGTCATGGCAGTGGTTGGTTGTACTGCCACTTGACAGTGCAGGGGGTGTCATGGCAGTGGTTGATTGTACTGCCACTTGACGGTGGAGGTGGGGGTCATGGCAGTGGTTGGTTTGGTTGTGCTGCCACTTGACAGTGGAGGTGGGGGTCATGGCAGTGGTTGGTTGTACTGCCACTTGACGGTGGAGGTGGGGGTCATGGCAGTGGTTAGTTGGGTTGTACTGCCACTTGACAGTGGAGGTGGGGGTCATGGCAGTGGTTGGTTGTACTGCCACTTGACGGTGGAGGTGGGGGTCATGGCAGTGGTTGGTTGGGTTGTGCTGCCACTTGACAGTGGAGGTGGGGGTCATGGCAGTGGTTGGTTGGGTTGTGCTGCCACTTGACAGTGGAGGTGGGGTGATTGCAGTGGTTGGTTGTACTTCCACTTGACAGTGGAGGTGGGGTCATGGCAGTGGTTGGTTGTACTGCCACTTGACAGTGGAGGTGGGGTCATGGCAGTGGTTAGTTGGATTGTACTGCAACTTGACAGTGGAGGTGGGATCGTGGCAGTGGTTGGTTGTACTGCCACTTAACAGTGGAGGTGGGGTCATGACAGTGGTTGGTTGGGCTGTACTGTCACTTGACAGTGGAGTAGGGGTCATGGCAGTGGTTGGTTGTACTGCCACTTAACAGTGGAGGTGGGGTCATGACAGTGGTTGGTTGGGCTGTACTGTCACTTGACAGTGGAGTAGGGGTCATGGCAGTGGTTGGTTGGGTTGTACTGCCACTTGACAGTGGAGGTGGGGTCATGACAGTGGTTGGTTGGGCTGTACTGTC